GCACCTGAACCTCTGCCACCTGCTTGGGATGCCAGAGTTGAACTCCTGGCTGCTGGATTCATTCTGGCCCAGCTCTAGCTGTTGTGGTCACCACAGAGAACCAGCAGATGGAAGATCTTTGTCCTTCTCAATTGCTCGGTCTCAAACAAATCTTTAAAATAAAAATGGAGATGAACAATTAACACTTTTACACAAAGTGTTCTTAAAAGGCCCAAATTTAAAGTTAATATTTAATCTTTTAAAAAATCAATCCAAAAGTTCAAATTTAGAAGACCTTAACTAAATATACAGATATTTTATACTTATTAAATATATCCTTAAGTCATTTTTATGAAATGAGAATGTTAAATTTAAAAAGTGGGATAAAATTGGTTGCTATTTTTGACCTAAAATATTTTATTGGGGAGGTTTTTGTGTATATGATTGAGAATTTGAACAGCAAAGCTGTTATTAGACGCTACTATGAGTGATAAAATCATGTGGTGTCTCGTATTTTAATTCTATTTAAAATTCCCAAATTTGATGTGATGAGCAGGCGGTGCTAAGATGTGAGTGAAAACTCCTGATGTAATACATGAAGGCTATAACATTAACAGTTAAGTTCTCTTCACTCTCCATCAAGACCACTCCCACATAAGGCAACCTGCGCACCCAAGGTCAAGCAGAGAAAATAATTGACAAACGAGACAACCTGGAGGAAAAACACCTTCCAGAGGTTTGAGAACTACTGTAACATCACAGCGACGGACTTTCTTCCTGTTGGAAGTAGACGGAACAAAATACGACAATTGAGGTTTTTTTAAGTTATAGTTAAGTTTCAGCATCTCTTTCAAAAATTCATACAAACATGGAAGCTAAGAACACCTGCCAGCCTGACTCTGAAGTTTCTTGTTTTTGACAACCTGTTTATTTTTTATTTTGATATATATTTTTGGTTCAGAGACTTGAAGAAAAACATGATGATTCCTTTAAGATAAGAAAAAAAAACAAAATCCAGTCCTGATGAGGCTCATGCTGTAATAAACCCTTGGAGCTGGTTTAGCTCATGTGTACTCCTCAAAGGTCAAAAGCAACAATTCAAAGAGTGTGTGTGAATGCAGGTTCTGGGTTTTCAAAATGAATGATCAAATAATTCGGTTAAGTAAATTTAGTTTTTGCAGAGATTCGCCACCTAATTCCTGCTTCCTTGCTGTCTGAATTTTCCCTAGAGCTCTGATCATAATCATGGAAACAGCAATGCAGACACAACCGCTGGCAGTCCGATCATCCCAGTGCCAGCCACCGTGAACAGTTCTCGAACAGCCCGGAAGGAGCAGTCGCTGTGTGGGGTTTTTGCCGCTGGGGAGACGGCAGGACAAACCAACATGCTCCAGTCAGTGTATTTAGGTGGTTTAAAAACTCCAAGCATTTTTCAACTGACAGAAAGGCTGAAACTTTGCTCAGCATATCACATGAGCGCACCGCCTCGGGGAGGCGAATGTCTTGGGGGAGCAGTTTGTCACCTCTCACCATGTTTATGAGGCAGAGCAACAGCAAGGGAGTGTCAACCACACCGTAAATTTGGCAATATAATACATCGAATATCTGATATGATTACCACAGTGCAAAAATTTTCCAAGTTGAAATCAACTCTGGCTTTATTTACTCATCAGCATTCCAATCTAATGAGATAATAAACTTGGCCCATCAACACATAATCCATTTCTTTCATCATAGTAACATTTTTCATGCAAGTAACAGTTTTAATGTCATAATGTAACTGCTGTAAGTTAAATTGATTCAATTTAATTAACAAGCATTTATTTCGCGCCTACCTGTGCACAGCACTGTCCTAGGCATACAAAAGGACGAGAAGATACGGTCCCTGCTCAAAGGGAGCTTACAACCTGTGTAGGAAAGACGACGCGTGCATACAAGAACCACTGAAAATCACATGGAGATAAACATAACTAACGACCTACGCACTCAAGGCAGCCTGTCGTGAAGGCGCCGTGATGGAGAAGCGATGCTATCGGGAAAAGACGATCAGCAAGAGGACTGACAGAATCGTGAGGTCAGAAAGGAGAAACCACAGGAGGGTGACACACATCAGCATGGCCGGTGCAGGGACTGGCAGGGGGACTGGCGTGGCTCCAGAGAGGGGCGGAGTGGAGGCATGCTGCCCAGGCTGGTGAGGGCAAGTGGGCATGGCTGCTCGCGGTCAGGGCTGATGTTCATTTTACAATATTCTTTCAACTCACCGAGACACAAAAGCCCACAAACAGAAGTGTGTTTTCTAGCCTTGACAACAAAGCAACGAAAACTTGTAGAATGCTGAGAGAGTAAGCCCAGGGAAACGGTCACTGAAATTCGAACAGACACACTGTGGGGCAGCAGTCACTTCTGGCATTGGTTCTCTTCCTTACTTGAATTGATGAAGAGCTGGGTTGGTTCAGAGTCAAGAAGCTCGTGAAGGCAGGAGACATCCCCACTCTGCACTCGCTTAGCGACTCAATTCCTTCTCAGGCCAAATCCAGGCTGCATGTATATTTGTGGGAACAGGAGGAAAAAATATATTTATATATATATATATGTTTCTGCTCTCGTAAAAGTAGGTGAGTTCCTTATTTTCTGAGCTTAGACGGAAAAACAGGAAGGTAAAGTCACGCGTAGCTCAAGACAAGGCTGAAGAAATGGGCTTTAGCAAACAAGCATTGTTTTGAAAATTAACCCCCATCCTAGCCTACATAGCTGGGTCACACCAGCAATTTACTGCATTAAGGCAGGGGGGCAGAGCAGGGCAAAAAGCAGTGGCGCAGGAACAGATCTGTAATTGAGAAGAGGTGGAGACCCCTGGTTCACGTGGGACTGATGATGCTTTTATGCAAGAACATGACCTTGATAATCCGTCTGGGGTAGAACAAGGGGTTGTTTCTTCAACAGAAAGAAACCGTCCAGATATCTGTGCGAGTTACTGGCCACCACCAGCTGCGGCTGTTAAAAAAGAGAGAAAGCGCTGATCCAACAAAGGCACATTGAACTCGGTTCCTGCTTAGCTGTCTAAGGGGAGGCTGTCTGAAATGTGGATCTTCCAAAAGTGCCCTACTCTGCTTTAATACTCACCACTTTTCTATTCAAAATGTTTCTATATTTACTTAATAAAATTCTGATAAATTGCAATTACAGGAGAATCAAAGTCTTGCTTTTTTGCAATGCTTACTCACAACTGCAAATGTAATGAACATGGAGATGTATCATTTTCAGATCTTTCCAAAGCCAAGAGGTCCTCGTTGTCCAATAACTACTCAGGGCATAGTTACTGTGAGACTGCACACAGCTCGGGGAAAGTCAGCTAATGGCATGCTAGAACATTGCACCATTATTTCATTAAGGGAACAGTAAGTCTCAACTAGAATTCTTAGCTTAGAATCCAGAACTTTGCACCTACCACTTTAAGCACGAATTTGGTGCTGTCCTGTTACACAAAAGCGCTGCTGGGATGTGTGTTGTATGCTGTTCTAGTTCCCCATCTGCAAAGTCTAAATGAACCTACGCAGCACCCACTACTGTAACCCCTTCTTAGACTTCAAGTCTACAGTCATCACTTCTCAGGTAAGGGCTATGGGCTGGACACAATTAGAAAAAGAGATCTAGTCACTGCTTCTCTTGGTGAAGGACTCGTGAAGGTTTGTCTAGGCCACGGAAGTAAGACGCTGGAATGACCTCTTGCCTTCTCCCAAACATGACAGTTACAGAACTGAAGACACGGAAGTGGGAATAAACTCTTAAGAAAGTGACACTGAGAGAGGACAAGCAGTGACTGTTAAAGTAACATCTATTTTAACAGAAATTTTACGTTCATAGTTGAGAAGCAGCACAGTTCACAGGAGAGCTCCACAAAGCTCAGACTTTTGCAGCACCCGGCACCCCCAGACATGAACATTAAGGGGATGACTGTCTCTGTCTTAGGCAGCAAGTTCAGGTTTACGAGTGGAGAAGTCGTACCTCCCGCCCCTATGTAATTCTTCCCCCATGGACTCAAGCGATGCTGGCCAGTCGTCACCTGGACGATGATGGGGAGGGCGCACTAACCCTCCCCTCCCGCGCTCCCGGAAAGGCCCGTGACGAAGAGGGCTCTGTCTGTGTCGGCCCTGCACTTCCTTACTCTGGAGGCTGGCCTTCCCAGGACCACTTGCGTTCTTGTTTCCCGTGGAAATGATCTCCTGATTACCACAGAGGATTGGTTCCAATACTCTTCAGGCACAAAAATTCACAGATACGCATATCCCTACCATAAATGGCACTTTTTAAGTATAACCTACTCACACATTAGACCATCTCTGGATTGCTCACACTGCCTAATGCGACGTACATGGTAGGTAAACAGCTGCCAGGATGTACTGTTTAAGGGATAAGGATGTTATTTTAAAATTTGCACATGATTATTCCTAATGTGATTTTATATTAAAAAAAATCATGTTTTTGATTGGCAGTTGATTGGATCTTTGGATGCAAATCATGCATATTACAGCTAGGGAGGGCCAAGTTTACTTTATAATTCAGCAGGCTTAGAAAAAGCACAGCTAATGGATTAGAGGAGGCTCCTGGCAGCCACTGTGATGAGCTCAGAGAGACACACCCCTGGGATCTTCCCATTGTCTCCATCCAAGTGTAAAAATAGTCAAAATGTGCAAGGGCGAGTCTGCCTTTGTGTCTGCTATGTGACTTTGGGGTGTTCTCTTCATTTTCTACCAGTATTCAAGGTTAATTTTTTTAAAAAGCTACTGTTAAATTTACATTCCTAAGTTTTTTTTCTTTCTCCCCTTTTAAAATTCCTCGTAAAATAACCCATCTCCCTGAATATAAAGCGAAGACTTGAAACACGGGCCATGGGACTGTGGACGGAATTGCCCACTTCAGGCAGACCGCCCGCTATCGAACCCTCCATTTGGAGGAACAAAGCAAAGCGGGGAGCACGGCGGCAGCTGAGAAATGAAGCTCGCGCCCTCAGCGCCTCTCACCTGCACGGGCGGCCGCCATCTTCTTGTTCCGCATCTTGTTCTCCAGCGCTTGCTACACCGGAAGAGACGGGAGCAGCAGTCAGAACTCCTCCCTTCCTCCTCCTTGACACTAAGTAAGACGACGTTTCTGTGAAACGCATTCTTACCATTTTCATCTTCTTTTTGAGATCCAGGTTTGCTGCCTTCTGGCCCTTGGCAGTAGCATTGAGATAATAGATGGTCAAACTAAATGTAGAAAAATAATAATAAAATAAAAAAAAATAATAAAGCAAAATGCATGCCATCTTTCAGCTCCTCGAGATTCTTCGTAAACTGACGGTGACTAAATCCTTCGATGAGCGCGCAAGGGGGTGCCACCTGTACTGTGTAGGTAGCAGTGAGGGTTCGGCTCAGGACTGCCCAGTGACAAGGACGAGTCCAGGAGGGTCCCAAGCTCCGTCCTCCAGGCTGCACCACTCAATACTGGCTTCCTCTTGGAAACACACTGACATCATATTAAGTTGTAATTAAAAACAACTTCTTAATTTAACAGCAATGGTATCCAAGAGAGGAAAATGTATTGATGCTACATGTCAAAAGAGGAAAGCCACATTCTACCCTAAATTCCCTCCTTTGGCCTTTAAATGGGAACAGAATCCTCACAGGCGTAGTAGATTAATATGGATTTTTTCCATAAAATATATTGTTTCCATTTCTATTTCTCCTTGTCTTTATAAAAGAATATGCTTCCAGAAAAAGCAAATTGCAACCTAGCAATTCTGCTAAAAGCAGTACTCTCATCTTAGGGGGAAAAAATGAACAAAGAAAAAGAAATGCTCTTTAAAAATGAAAGTGATACTGCTGTTTGTGGCAAATAGTTGGGTACTGAACACATCTCCTCTACTCTCCAACGTGCCAGATAATATCTTTTATATCTTTTATGGGCCATCTGGAGTTAGCAACCAAATTATTGATACACTTTAACTGGGTTGTCTCTTATATCAGTGGAGGGAGTTTGGAATTACAGACATGCAAGCAGGTATCTAAGGATTACCTGCCACACACACACACACACACACACACACACTGGTGTTCGATAAATGTGTGTGTGTGTGTTGCAAGGATTTGCCTAGAACTTTCCCTTGATTTGGGCGGCAAAGTCGAAGACCTCAGAAGTCATTTCTGTTTGTGGATTCTGATCTTATCAACACTGGTTCCCTGCCTTGCCATAACTCATTTCCTCATTTCCAAAGGGATCCAAGTGCCTGCGGAGAACTAACCGAGCTCTACTCAAATGCTGCAAAACCATCGAGGCTCATTCTGGAAGAACCACTGGGGAAATTCAAAATGTCTCTTAATTAAAGGTAATAAAAAGCCAAGTCAACCGTATGCGCCCTATAAAAGAAAAAATGAGGCCTCCGGGTGTGAAAAAAAAACCATAAAATCAGTAATAAACTGAAATTTGGACTTTAAATCAGAAGCTCAGAGCTAACACTGGCCCCTCCTGGGTCTCAGCTTGCCTTGCAGGGTGTCCCAACAAGGGGCAGGCCTACGACTTCCAACTCCAGCCCAGCCCCAGGCTGGTTAGTTTGGTCCATGAACTCAGAACGCTTTTCACATCCTTAAGTGGTTATGTGAGTATTCACTAAGATCCTCAGTGACATCTTGGCCTAAAACATCTGCTGTCTGGTCCATCCGTGACTACCAGCTTGGAGCCCATCCGATGTCTCCACTGAACCAGAACTCAAGTATGTGTAAAAAAAAAAAAAAAAAATCGGTGAGACTGAGAAGGCAGGACTTGAAGTCCGTTTCTCCAATGCCAGCGTCGGCTCCCGGCCTACACCTGCGGCAGACTGCTCACTGTTTAGACAGTGGCATTTGAATCAAGCTGCTCCTCTGCTTACAAACGGGCATCCCTCAGCAAAGAACACCATCACAAAAGCTAGGACGTTTCTACTGTGTGTGCATGTTCTGAACAGGATCTCACTTATGCCACTAAAATGGCCCTGACTCGCAGAGATGCTCAGATATCCGAGACATGCTCTTAGAAGCCACTGCTGTCATGAACGTGTAGAGTACAGAAATCACTTTGATGGCCATCTGGCGAGACACGCTGCACTCGCTCGACAGGTCGTTTCCCAACACACCCAGAGATGTCGTTATCAGATTCTTTAGGTCGCCTCACCATCAAGGGTCTCTAATTTATAAGAGCGATCTGTCTTGCTGTTGATTTTTCCCATCAGCTTTTCTGCATAGAAGACATCCCGGGTTAAGGAAGTGAACATTGGATTCCCTGCCAATGGATTTAACTCCCAGCACTGCCTTTTTAGTGTCTCACGTAGCAGGAAAACTCACTTCCCACCTGCCCTTTCTTAGTTTATAAAATCTATAATGTTGCGTATGACGCCTGCCCCCTCTCTTAGGAGACTTGAGATCGTGGTCACAACCAAGATGACGGTAACAACTTGGTCGGATTCTCAGCTCATTTACTCCAACCCACTGGGAGATGGCGCCCTGGGGATTCCTCCCTTCGCCTTTATCCAAACAATCCTGCCCTTCCCATCAATGCTGTTCCTGAAGTGTCTCTCAGGTGGATTCATCCCTGCCCTTCTTGATTGATGGTGCAGGAGGCACTTTGGGGTTTAAAGGAAGAACTGAGGCACTTTTCTTGGCTTTTCCATAGTAAGTATGTATTTTTATTTTAGAGGCAAGTGTATATGGGTTGACCAAGGCTCCGAAGCCAATAAAAGTTCTATGGGAACAAAACCTCCTGCCAAGTTCTTCCTCAGAAATCACTGTGAAGTGACATTTGCAAGACCCTCTGGTCCTCTGGCTCTATTAGCATAAACACACTTACTGACAGTCTTCTAAGGACACAGGGTAATTATTAAGACCCCTTAAGCTCTTGGTTCTAAAATACAGCTTATGGAGCCCCCCCCCAGGGGTCACTAACTTGGAGGCTCATCATTTCTGTATATGCACAGCCATCTGCTTTACGGAATAAGAGCTGGGGGGCGGTCTGCGGGGGATGCTCCAACATACTGATTAGATTTAGCCCTTAACATTGATGTTTCCCTGGCTTTAGCTGTTTACTGATAATTATTTTGGTTACTTGGGAACAAATCCTATAATCCCGGGGAGGGAAAGCCAGATGCAGATGGCTGTGAATTCCATCCAATAAGATAAGAATATGCCTCATGAATTTCAGCTCTCAAAAACATGTAATCAGCCCTGAATCTGGCTGGGTTACAGCACAGCCCTTGGGGAGGAAAGAGCTGGAATGGCCGACACTCCCGAGGAGCCAGGGAGCACAGCATAAAGACCCTGTCCGCACAGGGGAGGTACGCACGCCATCACCAGCACAACAGCAATGACCAGTCCGGGGTTCGAGAGCTGCCTCAGTATCTTCGCCATCCAGCTGGGAAAGTCATGTTCCAGGGTCTCGCCAATGACTTCGAACATCCGATTTTTGCCACTGAGAAAGAAAAAGGGGGTGGGTGGGGAAAAAAAAACGTATATGGGAACTATGATTAGTTCAAGATCATTAGAAATCTTTCTACGATGCCCGTACTCTGTCACATTAAAAATCTTATACTGAGCTGCAACTCCTAATATTTGGCCCCATGCATTGTCAACACGTGGATAAGATCTGAGAAACGGCGTCCCAACAAAAACACACAGCCGAGGCTATTAAGAAATTAGTCACGGCATTAGAAGGCTTCTACAAACTGCATTTCTAAAACTTGGATTGAATATGTTTTACAAGCAGCCCCCAAGCTTGCCCTCTCAGCCAGCAGTTGGAGAATGAACTCTTTGGGCAGAGTAAACATGTTTAGTTTGTAACTGGCTTTGGAAATGAGCACAAAGAATGGCCCGCCGAATAAAAGGCACATATAATCCAATAGCTCTTCCCATGCGATGCTTTCACCCTCCAACACAAAGGGTGATAGCACGGAGAACAGCACGTGCTTCTCTGTGTTCCCTCTGAACGCCACTAGGCCGCGCTGCTGTGACTCTCCAAGGCCACGGAACACCTGCTACCATCGATTGGGAAGGTGAGAGCAGGCTATCTTAACTTAGATTATCTGCAATTTCAATGTCAGATTCACTGTACAAAGCTTTTTGATACATATGTTTTAGAAAAGATAGGGTGTGTTTCACCAAATTGTATGTATCATCAGAATAGAACATTTTCAACTATTAAATAAATACGACCCATAAGTTCCAAATCAGATTTTTTTTTTCCCTTCAGTCAGAACTAATACCGTCATCCGTCAGGCAGAGGGTGTCATCAGGTATTTTGTCAGCAGTTACAGCACTGAAGGGGACACATTTTGCTTCAAAGATTATAGATTTATACAATAATTAATAAGACTTAAGATACATAACGGGGGGGGGCGATGCAGCCTCCAGATAATAATTTAAGATTAAATTACTTTGATCCAATGCAGCTTCATCATTTTTCTCTGCTAATTGATACATCCCTTACCTGCAGCCACATGGAGCACAGCGAAAGAATTAAAAAGAATCAGAAAGAACCAGAAAATCCATCCTCCCATCTCGGGTCACAGCTGATGAATATGGTCAGAGTAGGGGGCCTAGAACGTTATTAAATCATATCTATTCCAAAAATATATTTTTTAAAAATAGAAAGACTTATTTATTTTTCTTGGAAAGTCCGATTTACAAAGAGAAGGAGAGACAGAAAAATCTTCCAAAATCTTCCATCCACTGGTTCACTCCCCAAGCAGCCACAGGGCCAAAGCTAAGGCGATCTGAAGCCGGTAGCCAGGAGCTTCCTCTGGTCTCCCCTGCAAATACAGGGTCCCAAGGCTTTGATTCGTTCTCTACAGATTTCCCAGGCCACAAGCAGGAGCTGCATGGGAAGCGCAGCAGCCAGGACACGAATCAGCACGCACGTGGGATCGCAGCGCATGCAAGACGGGGGTTTCGGCCACTAGCGTATTGCACCGGGCCCTGCAAAAAGATCTTAACATGGTGTTTCAACACAAAGTCGCCCAAATCTCGCATTCTTGGGTCCCCTTTTCCAAACCGAGTCTCGCCAGAAAAATGAGTCAGATGTCTTAATCACTGTCAAATTACAGAAGCATCTCTCAATCCCCAGCGAGCCGTGCCTGGTCACCCGGTGTGCCGTGCCAATATCCTGCGAAGTCCTCTTGTCTCCGACTACACATGCCAGAGATGCGGCCAGCGTCATCTGCTCCACACATGCGCAGTCTGCGGGGAACGCTTTCTGCTGACCCGGACTGAGCCGTTCTCGGGATCCGAACACCCACTGGGTGTGTGAACCTGCCTCTACACGAACAAGACTGCCCCACCTCCTAGCACGCGCTATCAGTCATTACTCACTCATTAACAAAGTATCGTGCAGGACTGTGTTCTCGACTTACAGAAATGAAAGCACGAGCCGGAAACGTCAGGAAAGTGGACAGGCTGAGGTATAAACCTTGGATGAACAATGCAACAGCAGTCGCAAAGCTGTATCTAGGCAAGTTCTATCTGAACTTGTGCTGAGTAAATGAGCTCAGCTGCTTAAAGTCATCATAAAGAGGAAATCAGAATACAAATGCCAAAATGTTGTTATTTTTACTCTTTGAACGATGGGTCATATGTTTTTCCTTAATGCTAAGTTTCCACAATTTCTGGTTTCTCTAGGATAAACACATGTTGCCTTTACAGTAAGATATAAATCACATTATTTAAAAGTAAAATTTCCATTAACAGTTAAGTATGTGAGAAACTAAAAAATTACGAAATGTTCAAAATTCTTGGCATGATTAGCGAAAAATGCCAATTGTCAGGAAATGCGATGGAACAGTAACAATAATTATCTTCATTTGGACACTCCCCAAGTGACCGCTACGACCAGTTCTGCACCGGTCCAAAGTCAGGAGCCAGGAACCTCCTCCAGGTCTCCCACACGGGTGCAGGGTCCCAAGGATTTGGGCTGTCCTCAACTGGTTTCCCAGGCCACAGGCAGGGAGCTGGATGGGAAGCAGGGCTGCCAGGATTAGAACCGGCACCCATATGGGATCCCGGCACATTCAAGGCAAGAATTTTAGCCACTAGGCCGCTGCGCCAGACCCCGAATAACCATTCTTTTGTTCCAAACTGAGGAAAGCGAGAGGAAAATGAACCAAGTACTATGAAGCTACCTTCTCCCCAGTGTTGGAGTAAAACTATTTTAACTTTCTTGATCTCAAAATAGTACCACACGTGCAGTAATTTTACCTACATTTGCCAATAAGGACAGTCCAGGTTCAAATCGGATGCAATGCCTTACACAGACTCACGGGTTTGCAGTAAGAAGCTTGAGTAACTCAGTGTACGGCAAAAGGAGTTACTACTTAAACAGTGAAACCCGCACCATCATTGTGGGGCTTACTCATCAGTGTTTTAAATCCAAATGCAGCTGTGTAGCCACCAGCCCATTCCTTCCTTACACTGTGTGGTTTCCCTAGCGATCACTAAAGGCATTGCTACGTTTTACTGCGCAGGATCAACTTTCAGTTAAAAAACCTTAAAACGCACCTAAAAGTTATCCTAGATATTAAGTGGTGTGAGTAATTTGCAACTGAAGTCTTACAGCAGCATCTCTCATACTTGCTACTCAGTTACCAAACAAGACAAATGCCTCCTTCTCGACTGTAATTTCAGCTGTAGCCACCAGATGTCACTGTCCACATTATCCACTTCAGCCAATACACATATACACACGCTGAAGTGAAGAATCTTGTCAACTGCCATTTCCTGAGCATAACAGAGCTCCAGTTAGCCTAGCTCCATCAGCTTCATACATGCCTCTCTTTATACTTGGTCTGTGGACTTTAACAGCCTGAGCGGGACAGATGAAAAGCAAATTGCACGTCGCCACGCTAGCTCCACGCTTGCCACTCACAGGGTTTTTCACTCTCTCCTCTACTTCACAGAATGGAGAGAGCGGAACTGCCTGCTGGCTGGTGACAGCACCCAGAGACTCTTGGGGACATTTGCACCACATGAATGTCCAAGGCTCTTCAGGAAATGAAATCTTTTAAGACCTCTAGGACTTTGCTTTCTGTAACGTGTCATTACGAAATCTCTGTCCCGAGGAAGAGAAACAAAATACATGTCCAACTTGAATCCCAGAACCTTCCTGATTCCTGGCCACTTACTAGAGCGATAGTTTTGTGATTATATTTAAGGAATTGCATTTAACCTTTGTACTAGCATCTAGCATTTTGAGTAACTTTCTACTTATTCTTGCTTAACAATGATTTCACTTGCTAGGTAACCTATGGGGACATCTCCTTTCGAGGTGGTGGTCTGCGTGAGGACAACACTGTGATTGTGGCTGAGCGTGATGGGCCGACACCAGGAAAATTCCCACACCAGCGTCAGTGTAATGGCATCCTGTCCGTTGCTGCATCCTGTGATGGAGATGGCTCAGCTCCACCAGTCACACGTCACTCAGGAAGAACTTACAGCAGCACAAATTACTTCCCTTTTTACAATTTCCAAATGAGAAAACAGATGTCCCATAATGAGCAGAGTGGCCAAAGGATATCATTCCTCTAACCAAAACGCAATTGTACACACACACACACACACACACACACACGCGGCCATCGGCGCCTCCACCCCCCAGGACACACGTGCACACACTGCACCTCGTCACCTGAAAGGGCCACAGTCGCACCCCCAGAACACACGTGCACACACTGCACCTGGTCACCTGAAAGGGCCACAGTCGCACCCCCAGGACACACGTGCACACACTGCACCTCGTCACCTGAAAGGGCCACAGTCGAAGGATGGTGGGAGGGACACAATCATGTACAACACCGGCATGGTGGACAGGAAGAGGATGAGCAGCAGCATGCCCAGGTAGAAGTTGTTGGAGCGACTCGCCTTGAAGACTCTGGCCTCGAGGACGTTGCAGCACATCACGGCCCAGCACTGGAAGTACCTGGACGTGTGCAGACGAAGGATGTTGATGCCCGGGAGACTCGGAGCAAAGAATGACCCCATCCTGCAGGGAGACAGGGCCCGACTCCTTCTGAGTCCTGTCTCCTCGCAGCGTCACGCAGGGAGACAGGGCCCAGCTCCTTCTGGGTCCTGACTCCTCGGCAGTGTCACACAGGGAGACAGGGCCTGGCTCGGAGGGAGACAGGGCCCGGCTCCTTCTGGGGCCTGACTCCTCGCAGCGTCACGCAGACCTGCACATTCACCAGCTGCTTCCTCTCAAAAGGCGGGGATCGTATGACTGCTTTCAGCCGTGCCTTTTACATCAACCTATTTGCATCTTGCACACACATTCTACAGTTCTCCTGTTATTACAGGGATTGCATACATAATTCTTGTGCTATTAGCAACTATGCCTGCTGTCATTAATAAAGTAGAACAGGATAAGCAATATGTTATAATTGTTTCAAAATCCAATACAAGTTTCATTTCTCTTAATAGGCACATCAGTGATTAACAGACTTACTACATGTAATATTTTTATAATTGATTCTTAAACTCACTCATTCCAATCAAATGAACTATAAATTTGGATTCATTACTTTTGTCATAGTTATGCTTTTCTGTTTAGATACTATTTGTTCTTTGTAGCTGCTGAAATGACTTATAACTCATTGGTCATTTAAAGCTAGCTTAACTGTATATTTTTAGTATGAAAATTTCATATGTACATCTAAATTCAGCTCAAATATTTAAATTTGTGCTTTAGTCTTAGCCACTGATTTTTTTTTTTTTGCACACAACTTTTAAAAACTATTTTTTAAATTGACATTTTTAATCAGAAAACCACTTGGGTTAGGTTACTTTTATTAGTGGCCTCAATGATTATCTCAACAAAATGTATTTTTATTTTTTATAAGAAAATCAGTTAGCAGCACAAAGGAATACAAGCAGTAATGTGCAAGTCCCAAATCAGAATGAAGGTATATATGAACTTGTTTTACAAATATAAGCAGAACCTTATCTTCTCAACTGTCCCAAGTACAGAAACACTCGCAGCATCACTACTTTAGTATTGTATACTCCTTGCACATGCAGAATCACAGAGTAATCAATGCAATGTAAGTGCAATGCATTGTGGGGAAATTTCTGAGTTAAGCAAAGAAATTAGTTTCTGCCATAACTGTATTTATGCCAACCCAGATATAACTCACTCTTTGGTGGGTGAAATCGTGTCATGATTCGGGTTGTCATGCTGACAGAATTGTGAACGGCAGGTATGAAGGATATTTTAGTACACCAAATCAATCAAAACCTTTCTAAGATATTAAAGTATAGATATCTTTATAAGAGGATGGATTTTTAACACAGCCAAGTATGCCATTGCTACAGGGCAGCAAGAGGAGAGACGGAAGTCCAAGAAAGCCAGCAAGTAGATGAGTCATAGTCAGCTGATAGGCCAGAGCTGCGAAGCCCTGAACGACAGCCCCAACTGCCACTCCTCCTGGTGCAATACACCTGTGTAAAAGTCAGTCTTGGCCATATGGCTTCCTTCAGAATAAAACTATAATGAGGAGACCAGCACGGTAGCCTAGTGGCTAAAGTCCTTGCCTTGCACGTGCCAGGATCCTACATGGACTCAAGTTCTGGTCCTGGTGGCCCCGCTTCCCATCCAGCTCCCTGCTTGTGGCCTGGGAAAGCAGTCAAGGACAGCCCAAAGCCTTGGGACCCTACACCTGGTTGGGAGACCTGGAGGAGGCTCCTGGCTCCTGGCTTTGGATTGGCTCAGTTTTGACCGTTGCAGTCACTTGAGGAGTGAATCATCAGATGAAAGAGCTTGCTCTCTGTCTCTCCTCCTCTCTGTATATCTGACTTTACAACAACAAAATAAATATCAAATATGTATATATGAAATATTTCACTACTGGATAGAAATTGCACATTTCTGTACTATTTTTCACTCTCTTCTCTCTGCTGCTACTGTCACCAGCAAAGTTTCAAACGGACCTTATTCCATCCGTGTGAATTGTTAAAGTGAAGCTATAAGAGCCAGAGCTCTACCCAACGCACACTGAATGCGTTCTTTTCTTAAGCCACTAGAATTAGAAACTGAGTGTCCTGGCTGCCCAGCTTGGTTGATGCTAAGACATAGGTTTGTACATAATTCAAAAACGGCCTTGAGGAGAGCCACATACAGTTACACATACATATGCATTGCTTGTCCATGTGTGTGAATGCATGCAAATACAGTATATGGATTCACAGCAACAAATAAATTAAAAACACTACCACACATAGATATTTTGTACAGATTACTCAAAAGTCATAATCCAGGGGGGAAAAAAGGTCCAGGCATCCTAACAGCTGGTCTCAATGCTCCTCCTCTCTTTGCTCACGACTCACTCAGCAGCTCAGCTCACTGAGTCCCTCCCCCGGTCTTGACTGCATCATCTCTCAGTTATAACTCATTCTAATACCTTAGCTTTATAAAGTGCTTTACTTCCAAGAAGATCAAAGCAAAAGAAAGCTTCTTTTGTTTAACTCCCCTATTGCTCCAGTGACAGGTATATGTCAATTACTCACATGTGACAACTGAGAGAGAAGTGGCAAGGCTCAGAAAGCTCCCCAGTCAGCAGCACAGAAACGTGCAGAACTCTGCGTCTCTCTCTACGCGTTCTCTGCTGCCGCTCTGTCTCCTGCCTGGATAAGGATAACATGTGCTTTCCTTGTTTAAAAACACCACTGCAGGACCTTATGGTGCCATGTAAACATGAAATACAAACGTTGTTGATCATTTCATCCAAATCACAACAGATTAGATTTTCCCTGTGAATGCTGACTTCCATCATATCTGCAAAAAATAAGTTCTACTGTTCAGGAATTCCTAAAACAGCCACTCAGAATCTCCAGTCACAAAACAAAGGGCTTGAACACGAAAACTCTATACCATTTTTTTTTCTATAAAATGGTTAAACTTAGATATCAGATCCTTATGCTTAAAAAAAAAATGTAATTGTCTGTCCTGAGGAGCTTGTTTACACAGAGCCTCTGTTTGCACTTTTCCTCATTACTCGCTGCCTCCACCAACTGCCTCACCAACTCCCCGGGAGTTTCAGAAGCACGTCTGGATTGATGCGAAGGTGAGTAATGTGATGACGCTCTGGAAAGTACCTGAATAGCTGTGCCGTCAAGAAAACCCATACTGTCATTCGAATGTGCTCTGCAGACCAACCGGCATCAAGCCTGGTCGTTGTCTCAAGAATGAATACAGAGAAACCGACCCAGCAGAGACTTGGATAATGGGTCCGCCTATGAGAGACTGGAAACTGGAAAAGGTGTACAGATCCACTAGGAATTTCAATAGGAACAATAGTGGAAAAACACTACAAAACTACACATTTAGACCAATCAGGATAGCAAGGACAACAGCTTCTCTGACAATAAAAATGAATTTCGAGGCCGATCTGTTGTCTTAATTCTGGAAGAACACAGCGGACAGTGCACGCAGGAGGTTCGTGCCCTGTTCTATGCAAAGCCACTGGTGTGGGGCTGTGACTTCTCACTACTCCATCAGCTTTATTTGCCATTTTCTGCCATGACAATGAATCCCCTCCAGAAAAAGGAATATAAGAAATCAAAGGACGTGTTTCCCTCTACTGTTCCTGTCAGTGGTCACCTTGACCTGTCTCCTTGCTCAGAGAGTCACAGATATATTTGATTCCTGAATGCCTCTCTGAACGGATGAGCCATAGGTATAAAACGCAGGTAGCGAGGAGGTGCAATTACATGTTCATGTCTGATAACAGAGGCAGACATTCAGCACAGTGGTTAAGATGCTACTCAGGGTGTATTGGTTTGAATCCAGGCCATCTTCCTGATCCCAGAGTCCTGTTCACTCACCTGCTAGCTGGCAGGTGACACATCAGGTACATCCATGACACCCACGTGGGAGACACAGGTTGACATCCGGGCTGCCGGCGTCAGCCTGGCCCAGTCCTTGTTCAGTTACTCAGTGAATAACTCAACAGACGCAAGATCCTTCTGTATCCCTGTCATTCCTGGTGACTCTCTACCTTTGAAATAAAATGAATATAACTATATTTCTACAAATTGAAAGAAAACTGACAATAGTGGAAATCATCTCTCAATAGCATCTGATTTTCATATTAATCCATCTAGTGAGCTCCAGGAATTTGGCAAGCCCCATGGTGTGATGATGGGGCCATGGAGAGCTGTCTTTATGTCGCTTTGACAAAGATGGTTCTCACATTTTTCCAGGGAGTCCAGTCTCAACAGCATGCCAAGTTTGGATAATTAAGGCCAGGTAAGGTTGAAGGATTTGAGTAACACACAGAGAGTTTGTTCAAAAACCAAAGCTATGCTTGTAACGAGGACCATGGCATAGTACTGTATTGGGCATGTAGCCCCAGAATAAAGCAGCTCAGTTGAGACTGCTTCTGGGTTGCGGTGTTCTTAGTTAAGAGTGACACATTTCTAAGACACATAGTTCCCAATTGAACTGGAGGTGATTGCCGGAGTCCAGCCCCAGCTGAGTTCGGAACTCGCGAAGGGTGCGTGGATGAGGCGCAAAAAAAGAGACGGACCACTAGTAACTCTTCATCATCATAATGGACTACTCACAAAAGCTGTCCGCTTTATTTATACAAAATCAGTCAAACTCTGGCTCAGACTTTTTACGTCATGCTCAAGCGGGGGTTTCTAAAGATAACTCTGCCATTTGTTTCACCTAAGGCTAGGTTGCTGTTCACCTGGCACCTGGCGCCTGGCTAGGAAAAGGTTATCAATAGGTGATGCATATCAGTCAGTAGCACATTCCTACCACAATTGGTCTTGAGATAGTCAAGGAAGGAAGTGGCCTAAAAGATCAAAGAAAGAAGGAAAGAATAGGTTCCCACTACACCTGAAGACAGAACTCCCTTGATTAGCATAGGATCAAAAGGGGAGTTAGCACCCTTGATTAGCATATTGCCACAGGATGCAGCCCTAACAGCGACAGTAGCTCTTTGGCTGAAAACGGCACCAGCAACATTAGCTTCTAAGTTCCTGTTGACGTTAAACAGTAACTCCGCAGAGGCAGGCAATGCCTAAATAGATTACAGAATACTCAGCGGGGTTGTCCGGTGTCCATGCAAAGGGAGGCAGAGCCGCATTCAGGTGTTGTAGAGACATCCGCCAGGCCTTGCCACACAGCGGGAAGTTCCTTGTGACCTTGCCTGCAACGGAACCATACTCTTCACACCTTCCTGTCTTCCACACCCATCACACGGACCCCAGCAGGTGATGATTCAATTTTTAAACTCAAAAATGATCTCTGCTGTGTCAAATCATCTTAACCTGACAGGGTTTATAATGAGAGTTTTTTCTTCTAGCAAAGATAAGACAGTCTTTTGCACATCACAAGAAACAAGTCTGATAGGCAAACGGCCCTATGAAAAAGCTGTAATATAAGGACCACATTTTTTAACTTGACCTTCCTAAAGCATGCTTCATTTTTTTACACAACTGAATTTGGTAAGATACTTTTTACAAAATAGCCATAAATTGCATTGTAAGTCTATTTAGTAAGAATAATAAAGCAAAATCAATTTTTTAGAAATGTCTTGTTAATTTATTTTATTTAACAAATGGTAATGTGATTCTTCATATTTCACAGTTAGAGCCTGGTATCACAAGTTGTAAAAATATGAGTCTTCAAATAAACCTGCTGGCCAGAACATACCATTTGGTGAAGATGCACTCTGTCAGAGGAGAGAGACCCTCTGAACATCAGGATTTAAAATACGGGAAAAAAGTAAACTCGAATGTTGAGTTACACACAGATTTTGTTCTCCCCTTAGATGAGGCTATGGTACATGACCCTGAGGTTTCAAACAGTGATGCACCATCCAGCTGGCTTACCAGATCATGCCTTGGTTGAAGATCAGCGCCAGTGAGAGAGGAGTTAGAGTGGGTAGTAGGCAGTTAGGGTATTCTGGGTCCCTGAGTAAAAGAGAATTTCCCCACCATGTCTTGGAGTCACCAGGGCACATCTCTTCCAAGGGATAAGAGCGCTATTAGCATACCAATTCCCCACCTGAAGTATCGGCCATTACCTCTGGCCATTGTGGGAGGGTCTCAGGCCGATCTCTTTATCATTGAAAGGAGAGCAGGAAGAAGTAATACACATCTGCCTAAGGCCTGGAATGTCCTATGTCTAGCACCTCTGTGGCCTTTTGTCCCAAGGCCAGGTACCATGGAAACCAGGAATTTTCTTTGTTCATGGAGAAACATCTTTGAGGGAAACCTTTAAAAGGTGCATTCCCCACCATTGATACGGGGTTTTGCCTCTCGTCCTCCTGCCACTATGGCAGAGGGCTAGGGTTTTTGCTTATTCTTCTCCTGCCACTATGGCAGAGGACTAGGGTTTTGCTTCTTGTCCTCCTGCCACTATGGCAGAGGACTAGGGTTCTTTTTCCTTCTCCTCCTGCCACTATGGCAGAGCACTAGGGTCCTTTTCCTCCTGCCACTATGGCAGGAGGTAAGGGGTCTTTTCTATCTCAAACCCCCTCCCGTCGCTAGGACGGGAGTCTTCTCTTCTCAGCCTTTCTAATAAATCTTACTTTAAAACTAAACTGTGTCCGCATGAAAATTCTTCTTTCCTGCGAGACAAGAATTTGAGGTTGCTGCCATACTCGGAGTCAAAATTCCTGCAACAGTTTTTGGTGCCGTGTGACTCGGATTCTACCAGCGAGACTTGAGTTCATCTCCAGCCAGCCTCTAGACATCCATCTCGTCGGACGGTGAGCAAAGCGGACTCTCTTTCCTGTTTTTCGGAGACACTAGCTCTCCACAATTAGTAACTCTCGGAAAAAGAAACCGGGTCCCTGTCAGCCAGTTAAATGCGGTTAGCGCGGCTGCCGGTCTTAAGACTCAGGGGCGAGGCTTGCTGAGTTTGGCTAAATTGATCCCCTGGAGCTGGGACACTTTTCTGATCTCTCCTTGCTTCCCACTTCCCGTAGATCAGTGCCGCAAGAACGACAGGGAAAGTCTGGGTAAATAGGGGATCTGACCAGGGCACTCTCTGGTGTTCTCCGAAAGCCCATCGGCTGACCCTGGTTCCCAGAAATGCCCGGTGGGCAAGGCGCTGGGAAACGGCTCCTCTCGCTTCTGTGGATCGGCGCCAAAGGAAGGACTTTGGGGATAGGCCTGGACGAGTAGGGGATCTGGTCAGGGCACCCCCTGACGTTCCCTGAAAGCCCGTCGGCTGACCTCAGTCCCCAAAAAGCCCAGTGGGCAAGGCGCCGTGAAACACTGCTCTGGCAGACTGGCCTCTCGTGGAGGGTGTGGGAGAAGGCGTGGACGAGTAGGGGATCTGGTCAGGGCACCCCCTGACGTTCCCTCAAAGCCAGTCAGCCTCACCCTAGGCCTCCAGTGAGCAGAGGACCGTGAAGCGCTTCTCCTGGGAAAGGCACCTGGGTGCTCAGCCTACGGAAGTGGGGGTTCTACCTTTCTCTTCTCTCTCCTCGGCTCCAGGAATGTCGGTTTTGTCCAGACTCAGTTTCCTTTCGCGGACTAAGCCCGTCGCGTGAGACTGGGAGAAGTCTTAGGGCGCCTCAGAAATTCTGGTCAGGGCCACTCCCTGATGCTTTTCGAAAGGCCTCTGGACTGTACCCCGGACTCCGACAGCCCGTCAGGGTGTCGGGCTGAAATCTGCACTCTTTTCTTCCTTCTGCGGGGACTCAGTCATCACCACGGTGAGGCCACGAGCCCTGGGCTGCATGCCTCAATTCCCAAATGGCCTCAGGCACTGGCGAGTCCTCCGTTACCTTTTCTGATATCTTCTCCAAAAGCTTTTTCTCACTAAGTCTCCTCATTCTGTATGAATTCAGTTTTTGGACTTTCTTTACTGGTCAGTATGTGCTAAATATCAGCTGGTCTGTAATGGGGAAAAGGAAAAGGCAGGCAGTTTCTAGGCCATCTATAGATGAGATCCAAGCAACGGAGATATGGAGAAAAGTGCTCTAATTCCTTCACAAGGCAATCAGCAGAGACAGTTCCTCCAGGTCAGCTCTTAACCAGTGTAGTCGCTAATGTGAGCAGAAAACCAGAGTCAACACAGGTATTCCTCCAGCTCTAGTTAAGGACATTGTTACACAGGCTTATAGAATCAGGCCGAAGTTTGAGGTCAGGCTTGTCAGCTCAAGGTTAGAATGAACTTCAAAGGAGAGCATATTTTGTCCGGCAGAAGTCCCAGACGCAGCAGGGTGCAGGGGATATTTTTTGGCACATGCTGCTTCTGACTTATATGTTCTCCAGGACATCAGAGTATTGCACCAGGCAGAGGCCTAGGTCTAGCATGGCGCAGGAAACGGGAGCGGATTTTTCACTCCTGGCACATGCTGTTCTAACTGAGACGCATCCCATAAGGCGTGGGAGGTCAAGCGACGTGAGTCAAGTGTACTGACTTCACTCCCATCTCCCTCCCTACTTCTGTGGTCTTCAGAGTACACCTGGACGCCACGGGCTAGCAATAGGAGTTTAAAGAGACGTCTTAAACTCAGGAGAGATAGAAACTGAGGGACGCTTCTGTTTTCTTATCCTCTCTTCAGATGGGAAGCAAGCCATCCACCACAACCCCCCTGGGGGTTTATCCTCAAGCATTAGGATTCCTTTGATCCCCAGAATGTAAAAAAAAGGGCCTGATCTTTTTCTGCACCCAAGCCTTAGCTGCCAGTTTTGAGCTTTAGAGTGGTGAGTTAGTCTGGATGGGTCTCTTTGCATAACTATGCTGCTGTGCTGTGCTGGCTCCACCGCCACGTGGAGCACACAACTTGCTTTTACCTTGAGCCTTCCCAGTTCTTTTACTCAAGTCTCCTGACTGCACCCTTAATTGTAAGATATCTAACAGGAGGTAGAAGTTCATTTTTTCTCTCCTTGGTCACTGATCTTGGGAACCAACGGGAATACTGCTAGTTAACAATGGGCCAGACCCCAGACTCCTGCACCCCCGGAGAGAACTTAAAATTCATTAACTCTTTGTAGCCTGAGAGATTCTTTCCCTTTGCAGTTCCCTCTGACCCCAACTACTAGTATTTCATTCTGTTCATATGCAAAATCAAAGTTTTTCTGTGTCATTGCAACTGGCTTCAGCGATGAGTTCTCAGTGTTTTTGCAATGTTTTCTGCTGCTTTTGTTGCTGTTTGGTCTTGAAGTTTAACCATCTACTGATTTATAGTGCCATCCTAGCTCTGATCAGATCCGGCCTACAGTGTTTATACCTAGAGTGGTGCTTGCTATAAGGAGGAGCAGATTCTGCGTGTGAGCTTGTATGTTCTATTAAAGTGAATGAATATTTGCATAATTACAAAGATTCTTGGTGAAGTTTCAAAAACTGCTAATGCATATACTGGTGGTTATGTTTATTGGTCAAGTTGTCTTTTAATCGTGAAGCTGTATCAAGTTGTGGAATTATTTGTATTCTTGCATTGTCAATTATTTATGTTCTAATTTGCAAAAAGCATCGTTTGTGAGATTTTTGTCTTACAGGAAGACAGCAAGTTCTTAAAGTATGTATGTACAACATCTTAATGTTTATCTTTGGAGCAATGGAATTGAAATCTGATTCTTTGTCAAAGCAACAGTTTTTTTTTTACTTCTCTTAAATTAATCTTGTCTTACTTATTAGTGACTAGATCTGCTAGCTAGCTCTAGTATAATAATGAAATATTAACATAACAGACTGCTATTGGTACAAATGTGAAAACATCACTAAAGTCTAATAATCTTATTGCTTTATTGTTTACAGCTGTTATCCTAATGAACAAGGCCTAAACAGTACTAATGTGTGTATAAGTCCTACAGGTGGTTCCACAGTGTGCTGTGTAAATAGATGTTTATATTTGTTATTATAATTCTGACAATGAATGCTTCATCCTCTAGTTCCAACAGATACTATTGCATCCATTGCAGATAGAACTAAAGCTAAGCAGTAAGCTACAGGTTCCAACTAAAAGCACCTTCAACTAGTGTTACTAAGAGCAAGATGTGGTAACTTTAAAACACTTAAAGAGATTTTTCAAAAGCTGTTACAAAAGTTTTGCTTTATAATGTATGTTATCTGGTATACATGGCAAGCTATGTAGTCTATTTCAATTGACTGGGCAAATGTTCATAAATGAGAATTGCTAAGCTGAATCTTATTTTGATTTAAGCAAATCTGAGATTAAGAGCCACAGAGAAATCCCCCAGCTTCTTAAAATGCTTGAGGAATGACTTTAAATATATTCCACTAGATTCTATGTAGAGAATAGGTGATATAGATAACAGATTCTTAACTGCCCTGGACATTAGGATAGAACTTTAGAGACTTACAAATGGGACCTGAATGTGCCCTGATATCCTCTTAAAGGGGTCACTACGGTCTTTTACCTCAGAGACCAGGAGGGGATCCCATGGCAAAGCAGGATGAGAGAGGTATGTGCTCCTGGTTCCAGTGAGACCCCCGGAGGCCTCCCAAGTGCTCTTCATTGCAGAAGCAATGGACACTTCGTTAGAAAGGACGCCCAGTGCCATGTCCCAACTACCAAGGAGGTCATTGGAGATCTGACTGTCCTTGAAGGCCAAGTACTTCAGGTCAGTCATCTCCCATTGGATCTCCCACATGGGACTGAAGCAGCCCTGGAACCTGCACAGGCTCAAGGCCATCCACGGACTTCAGTGACACCTCGTAACAGCATCGAGGAGCCCCGGGTGCTTCTCCCAGTGGAAGAGAAAACTGTAATTTTGTCTGGACACTGCCTTCTCTGTCCTAGCTAGCTTTGGCTTCTTCCCTTTCTTAGGATGACCATCAGGGTCTCTCAGGAGTCCCAAATTAGCTTAGGTGACAGACAGACTAATCTAGAAGCTCAGAAAAGCAGCTTTCCTAGGGAAAAATTAGCTTGTAACTGTCAGCCTATATTGCTGACCAGGCTCCTGACAGGGCATGTTTGCCATCGCTCTTCAGTTTGTACTAGACATCACTAGGTAGAACACCCTCACTATTCTGAGGCAGGGTTCATGTCTTCCTCATTTACTAAATTAGTGGGGATCTCTCTGTTCATATATTTAAGACTCTTCTGTTCTCCAACTGTCAATGTATGGCTTGTTACAACTACGGGACTAGTTCATTGCCTTTGCCCTAATGTGTGGAGTTTTGTGAATTCTTACTAGAATGCCATAAGCTGCTGGGTTATTGTAATTCACAACTAGTTTAGTCTTTTGCCATCTATGCTATGATCCAGATAAGTCTTGCAATGAAATGTTTTCAGCGCTGTGCTTTATGTTCTAGGCTCAATGTCTTCTGACACTCTTAGGGTTTCCAGCAACTGGTAAAGTACAATTATTTTAAAAATCCACCATTTGTATACAAAGCAACTGTAGCATTTTCAAAAGTCAAGTAAGTTTGAATCTTAATTCAGAATCATCAATGCTAGACGAAATTGTAACTCCATGGAAACTTAATGTTTACATACCCTATTTGGGTTCAATTCCTAAAGCCACAGGTTAACTTTCATTGGTTCTGTGCCTTCTAATGGACCTAGATAGCAATTTCATGTAGCTCAGAAAGCTTCATGTGCTCTATAATGTTCATTGAGTTTAACTGTTTCAACACTTGAGCTTTAAATGAGTTAATTTAAACCCATGAATCTAGTTTATAGTCAAACTGCTCAAGTCAATGTTTACTGTGATAGTGTTTCTCATCTAAATTCTAAATGTCAAGTATTCAAACTGGTGCTTCCACCAAGCCCATTACATATTAGGTTGGGAGAGATTATAATTGTCTTTGTTTTGTCATCTAGACTTCAACAAGAAGGAACACCCAGAGCCCGAACAACCTGTCAGGCACCTCTGATGACTTCTGCCAGGCGTCTCTGACTTCTGCATTCTACTGGGGACCCTTAGACCGACCCCCAGAGGAATACCCAACTGCTGCCTTTGAACTTCGTCCCATGTCAGCAGGAAGCAGTTAAGAACGGTCGTCGTCCCAGTCCCCTAACAGCAGTTAGGGTCACTTCTTCTGGGGGGCGGAATGAGAGAGGAGTTAGAGTGGGTAGTAGGCAGTTAGGGTATTCTGGGTCCCTGAGTAAAAGAGAATTTCCCCACCATGTCTTGGAGTCACCAGGGCACATCTCTTCCAAGGGATAAGAGCGCTATTAGCATACCAATTCCCCACCTGAAGTATCGGCCATTACCTCTGGCCATTGTGGGAGGGTCTCAGGCCGATCTCTTTATCATTGAAAGGAGAGCAGGAAGAAGTAATACACATCTGCCTAAGGCCTGGAATGTCCTATGTCTAGCACCTCTGTGGCCTTTTGCCCCAAGGCCAGGTACCATGGAAACCAGGAATTTTCTTTGTTCATGGAGAAACATCTTTGAGGGAAACCTTTAAAAGGTGCATTCCCCACCATTGATACGGGGTTTTGCCTCTCGTCCTCCTGCCACTATGGCAGAGGGCTAGGGTTTTTGCTTATTCTTCTCCTGCCACTATGGCAGAGGACTAGGGTTTTGCTTCTTGTCCTCCTGCCACTATGGCAGAGGACTAGGGTTCTTTTTCCTTCTCCTCCTGCCACTATGGCAGAGCACTAGGGTCCTTTTCCTCCTGCCACTATGGCAGGAGGTAAGGGGTCTTTTCTATCTCAAACCCCCTCCCGTCGCTAGGACGGGAGTCTTCTCTTCTCAGCCTTTCTAATAAATCTTACTTTAAAACTAAACTGTGTCCGCATGAAAATTCTTCTTTCCTGCGAGACAAGAATTTGAGGTTGCTGCCATACTCGGAGTCAAAATTCCTGCAACACCAGGACATTGCCACTGATGTCAAATTCCATGTAGGAAGGCTAAAGGAGACACAGATGTTCATCGGGTTAGCATCGCAAACGAGGACACTGAAACTCCAGTGGCTCTGCCCAGACATGAGCAGGCTCTCAACTGCTCTCCTTTAGCAACAGCCAAAATCTGCATGGTAAAGAAGAAGGCCTCCTGCAGGCACAGCAAGACTCATCAGAAACGCTGACATCCAACTCGGTCAAAGTATGGCCAGGCACTACCTAATACACTGGTGGGGAAAACAAAAACCGCAACAGCCTTTCAGCCAACCAATCCCATTGCGCATATTAAAAGCGTCCGTGATGCCACGCTCTAAGTCGGCTTCCAGGATATTGTGGTGCTGATACGGTCATCTCCGAAGCCGGACATCTTTATCAAGGAATAATGACATCATCTACGTGTCCAACGCTGGCCCAGTGAGAGCAGCACATCTACCCTACGACTACAGGGCAGCCAACTGTGAGCACCTAAAAATATCTACACACACGGATGGAAAAATGCTGTGATCAAACTGTACATCCTTTTTAAATCAACTATACATGATGCTTTGAATAAAGCCTTGGAAGTAACCAGTAAATTCACAGCTTACAGGTAGGTCGTGATTAAGAAATTTTATTTTTTGTGTGAATGAATTTTATATATTTTTTAAATTATATTTTGGAGGAACATGAAGTTTATAATAAAAAAAAATATAGTTTAAAAATGTAACAAAAAGTTTCAGAAATGATCCAGCCAAATGCCCAGTCTCCATGTCTGAGAGTGCCATCAGGGTCACATATGCAGCCACAGAGTTATTCTTTGTGCAGGGGCACAAAATACCAACTGTACTGAAGTGGACATCCTTGCTGGGCTGTCCTGGCTGGAGTGTTCTTGGTGACGCCTGAGGCAGCCCAGCCGGAAACCCTCCGACCAGTCAGGTGAACCATAATTACAAATACAGTGAAACAAGCTCCTACTTAATTTATAACTGAGAATTTAGAGGCTGGCTGATTGGTAAGAGAGTAAGAGAGCAGCAAATATGACATTGCAGGGTCAAGACAGACCATGGCAGAGAAGCCTATCCTCCAAGGAGTACCTTGAACTCCATAAAGTGTAGGTGTGGCTCCTGAGTAAAATAACCATGGTTAAGCATCACAGTGGAATCTAACATGATGGCAGTTGATCAGACATGGGCTTGAGAGCCAGCTCAACCCAGAACAAGCTATATATCTTTTAACATACTGACTTCTCCTACACTTCAGATTTCTATAAATTGAGAATAATGATGCCTACTTCACAGAAATGCTTGCATAATTATAGTCAATAGGGTATGTGAAGTATTTCATAGTTCTGACACATAACAACTGTGACAGACAAACATAAAATAACAGACGGGCATCCACTCCAACGGTCTACCAATTGCATGCCTCTTCCTTATGCATAATCTCTAACCCCTCTATCATATCTCAAGGAAATTCACCATATTTTTGATTTATATAAATTTACTAAAAACCACCTTACAATTGTAAACAAAATGCCAAGTTTGAGCATTTTCTTATTCCTTGATCAGTGTTCAGTTCTGTATCTTCTTGGATATTCTGTATTCTGTTTGCCTTTATGAGTAAGAATGAGGTCAGAACAAAACCAGAGCAACAGTGAAGACACTCTGCTTTGTGTTACTGCAGAAAACCTAAAGATCTTCCAGTAGGTCTCACCTTGCTGACTCATTCTGCATGAGTCAGTAGATCCTTTAGAACAACCGAGAACTCCCACGTGCAGAGATGTCTTGGAAAACCTTGATTTACATTATGTGATCTGATAATTTGCCCCAAGCCAGTAATAGACCCACCTAAATTCTTGCTCATAGGTTTATAATAACAATATTTGGCCATAAATTTGCAATTACGAAACAGGAACACTTTTTAAATTAAGTACTATTTGTTTATCTGTAAGTCAGAATTACAGAGAGAGAGGGCGCAACAAAGATCTTAAAAATCACTGATTTCCTCCCCCAAATGATAAAATGGCCAGGGCTGGACCGGGCTGAAACCAGGAACCAGGAGCTTCTCTGGGTCTCCCACGTGGGTGTCAGGGTCCAAGTGTTTGCACCATTTTCTGCTACTTTCCTAGGTGTATTAGCAGGAAGAGAGGCTGGAAGTGGAACAGCTGGGACTCCAACTGGTGCCCATATGAGATGCTGGGGCTCTGGGTAATGCCTTAACCTGATGTGCCACAGCACCAGCCCCCGAAACAGAATCACTTTGCACCTAACTAACACAGATGAAATCTGTAGTATGTAATTCAATACATGTAACATGTTTTTGTCTAGCAGTGTACTTATTCTGGTTGCATAAACTTCTAAATTTGAATTCGTAAGCAATTCTGCACAAGTTAAATGGGCATGTCAAAATTGTACTCTCTTGTCCCATAGATTTCTGAATCAACTGTTGGAGGCTGACGTACATGGTTTCTTGTAGAGGTCGTGCTTGCTTTTTTAACAGGCGAGTAGAGCAGGATTTTTGTCTCCTGCTAACACCTGCGCCCCTTATCAAAGCACCTGGGCTTGAGTCTTGGTTCTGCTCCAGCTTCCTGCTAATGGGTCCTCAGGTTTGCAACAGCCATGCTTCGGTTTCCTGTCTGGTTTATGGACATTCACGTGGGAGGCTCAAATTGAGATTTCATTTCCTGGCTTCAGCCTGGTCCAGTCTTAGCTGTTGGGATATTTGGAGAGTAAACAGAGTCTCTCTCTCTCTCTCTCAAATAAATGCATTCTTTAAAGAATAGTATTGATTAAAAATCAATAGTCTGGGGAACAGTCATGGCTAGATGAAAACCGCCAGTAATCCATGTGGCAACTTGTCCACTGATCCATCTGTATACACAGAATAATATATGTGTGCTTATAAAGACATTTTTGTAACAACAAAAAGAAAAAGCAACATGCCTTCTTCTGTGGTAGAAACTGCTCCGTTACTTCCTGTACCCAGGTCAGATCTCTCTTCCTGCCTGACAGCTTTTTTCTGGAGCAGGTCATCCATTTCTTAGTCTAGAGAAATACCCTCGGCAGCCTTTTCTCCTCCAGAAACAACCCTCTCTCCGGTTTCCACAGCTACACCTTTCTGGCCTAGGCTTTGTGGTTCGGGCTCTGTGTTGAACTCATCCCTCCATTGAGAACAGCTCCTTCCGTATCTGGAAATCTTGACCCTCCCTCAAGACCAGACTCCACTCCCCCCCCTCCCGCCCACTTCTACTGCAGCATGCCTTTCTTCCTCTTTTTTAAAGGCCAACAGCAGTCCGTTCTGCCTGCGGCATTTACTTTCCACATTCTTTACTGCCACTGGAGTCTTGCCAGATGAAAGGGGGCATGAAGAATGAGAGGGACTGGAGAATGAATGTCCACTCTGCAGAGGACACTGATGTCCCAGGCCATGGCTTTCCCCCCGGCAATATGAGTCTAATGTTTTCAAGCCTTTCAAGATGTCAAGAAAAGTAAAAAGTTCACCTAATGTTATGTTAAAGCTCCCGGGTCTGAAATACTGTGTCTTTAAATAAAATACTCTGAAAACCAACCCCCTGCATCCTGAAAAAGATGCGTAGTGGATGAGTTTGCCTTGCATCCTCCACAACTCTGAATTCCTTCATTATCACCTAGTTTAGAGCTTGTTCGCAGCGTTCTGCCCCGAATATGCTCTCAACCATATAAGCCACCCACTGGACGAGTCCGCCATGATAGGATCCACGGCAAAGACCCAGCACCCAACATTAATGTTTTAACAGCTGTTTGATCTGCAGCTTTTCTCAAAGAGCCTTCCAAAGGTAGCAAAGAGATTTTTTTTCTCTCTTTGACCTAAAACAGGAACTCGCCTCCTGCTCTTTGTACTAACTCGGGAACACTGTCAGTACTCCATAAATAATAAATTACACTTATTTAATTACAGCTTTTATGCATCCAGGTCATGTTATATTGACTTCACAGTTGCAGTTAAATATTCTACCACTTAAGGGGAAAGCAGTCAAGAACGCAAGGCAGGAATGTTCCCCAGACTTGTATTCCAGCAGACAATTGGAGGATAGAAAGTTCCCAAAATTAGAGAAGCTCAAAGGTGACAAAAAATAGAAATGAATTCATAATGTCAATGTTTATTCAGCCCTGTGTTGTGACTTCCTAGTTTTATGGCTATGCAATGTTTATTCAGCCCTGCATTGTAAATTCCCACGACTATGTGATGTTTGAGCTCTTTAGAAAGTTCCTAGTTTTGTTCTAAATTTAGTTTTTAACCTATTGTGCCAGCAAAACTTGATCTATAAAAACTGGGTAATGTACAGCGAGCGGCACGGATGTGTCATCCTCCTGCGTGAGGAACTGACCTCCGTCCCAGCGCGCTGGCATCTGAATAAATCCTCCTGCTTTTGCATCAAGCCTGTCTTCGCTGATCATTGGGGTGACACATATTCTCGTGGATCGGTAAGGCTGCAGCAGAAGCCAAGTAACAGTCCAAGAAAGAAATGGCAACTATGATATTTGCCTTGGAAGAGCTGAATCAGGCAAAGAAAATAGAAATGAAACGCAGCCAGATGGATACCTCATAGCACAGAATGGGAAAGCAACATGCTAGCATCCTGGATCTACAGCATTACCTCACTGCTGTTCAACAGAGCGCGCTCCCTGCCTGCATCTGGCTCATCTGAGGAGGCGCATCAGGGAGATGACCTAACTCCAGGCACCACCTCTAAGTCAGACAGCCGGGCAGTGGCTTCAGCCTCAAGTCTTGAAAAAAAACTGGTGGAAGTCCTACTTGTCTGTAGTCTAGACGGCATGGGCTTCAAGAGGTCATCGCTGACGAAGGACACTGTTTCAAAGTTAGGACAGAACCATCAATGACTCTATGCTAGAACTGACTCTGGACACTTCCTGGTAAGAAGACAGAACACTGTCAACACAAAGCGTTGCCATCAGCCAGTCCTCCTGTCCTGTCACCTGCAGCACTCAAATAACAGACTTCATGGGCCTCTGTTTGTATGGGACTTTCATTCTGACAGAGGGGATCAGAAAGTGAGAGCTTCTTTCTAAAACACAATGGCAAATGCAAACAAAATAGCAGGTTGAGAGGGAGAATGCCTTAAGGGCTGCATGCGTTTGGAGAGTGAGTCCCTGGAGGAATCTAGTCACTACAAGCCCCAGCTCCGTGCTTCCCCTTGAGGGAGAAACAGCTGAAACAAGTGCTAACATCATCCTTCCTTCGAGTTTAAAACCAAAGAGTGCCCATGTTTGTGGACTCTGTGCAAATAACTGCAAAGCGGTGGGTAGCAGATGATCTCAGCAGAGCAGAGAAGCCACAGAGCACACGTGGTCTCGATGGTCCCGCGAGGTGATATGGAAGCCACTAGGGGACTTCAAGGGGATGAGCCCCATCAAGCCCCTAGTCCACCAGCCTTGAGATATGTGGAGCCAGTGTCCAAATCAGGCCAGGGCAGCAGGGTGAGGTGGTAGATCTCAGAGTTAGATGTATGCTGCTGCTGTCCTCAAGTTTTGCCGGAAGACTTGGGGCAGGGCATAACAGAAAAGCAAGTGCTGAGTCACTTCCAGGGGAGCTGACAAAAACAGGAGCTATTGTTTCAGGGAAAGCAGCTGCCCCTGTGAAAATCAGGTCCCACCTCTTGCCAGAGCTCTTTCAGTTACCCGAGCCTTCCTTGTGATATTTGTGATTCTTCCTCTTGTGCCTGTCAAGCTCTTACTGGACTGTGGGGTTTATGAAGTAACCATAATTTCATAAACCAGATTATTTGCCAGGTCATTTCATCCCCTGGTCTACTGAGCAGTAACTGGCATAGGATAGTTTCTCAAGAGTGCAGTCAAATTCAGCCAAGTGAATAGAATATGCAGTGGAGAGCATGTCCAAGATGCAGAAATCCAAGCAAGCGCGTGGGGTCAGGTGATCAGATGAAGACTTCCTGAGCTGAACACTTTAAACGGCAGGTTGAAATGAACTATTGTGAGCTGATTTTACCAGATTATTATAAATTGTGATACTCAGGCCCAACCTCTTCTAAACTGAAGATTTCATTTACTGACATCCAAAAGATCGCAAACACAACTCAGGGGTATCCTGCTGCTGGAGCCGTGAGCACACATTGTGCATCACGCAAGAGATGTTCCACAGAACAAATAATATCATACTTACATATCCATATTCCAAGTCCCAGCACCAGCAATAATTGCAAAACCTCACAAAACATGCCCTTAGGAAATCCCCGATGAGGATGGTGACGTAAGTGGTTAGAACATCAGAAACCGTGAGCCGCACGAATTCCTGTTGAGATATTCTCGGTATTAAAAACATGCACTTCTGTTTTCAAGTTCTCCTGGCATTGGCACAATATGTGCCATGTTTTGTAAACCTTTTCGGCTAATGATTGGGATTACTGGTAGAAGAAAAAGGCAAAAAAGGCATAACTATCAAATGAAAAATGTGTCAACTCTGTGATTAGCACAGAAGTAATGACTGCTCATTCCCAGATCACTGTCTAAAAGTCTTCCCACTCAGGAACTTTTCCTAGCATCACACAAAAATACGTTTAAAAGGCAATTTCCATTACTCTGAACTATCTGGCATTGACGTGTTTTGAAGCTGCTCCAATGCAGGGTAGGCCTTTGGCCTAGCAGTTAAGATGCCTGCATGCTGATTCTTTCTCTCTCTCTCTCTCTCTCTCTCTCTCTCTCTGTCTCTCTCTCTCTCTCGGCTTATTTATCTTTATTGAAGGCTAGACTTATACAGAGAGAAGGAGAGACAGAAAGATCTTCCATCTGCTGGTTCACTCCCCAAATGACTGCAATGGCCAGAGCTTAGCCAGTCTGAAGCCAGGAGCCTGGGGCTTCTTTTGGGTCTCCCATGCAGGTGCATGGTCCCAAGACTTTGGGTCTTCTTCTACTGCTTTCCCAGGCTACAAGCAGGGAATTGAGTGGGAAGTGGAGCATCCAGGACATGAACAGGTGCCCATATGGAATCCCAGCAGATGCAAGGCGGGGATTAAGCACTAGGCCATTGCACTAGGTAGGCCCCAACTGTTGCTTCAGCCTCAAGTTTCCTGTTTATTCAGAAGTTCAGAACCCCAACAAGGGTTGAGGCACTCCCCAGAAAGCTCAGTTGGATTCTGGGGTTCCAGCATCGGCTGGCCCAGTACTGGACATTTGGATGGTGAACTCACAGAGAGCTCTTTGACTCTCAGATAAGAATTTTCACAAAACGCAAAAGTTCAAGACCCTAATAAGAAGATTTAAGCTTTTTAAATTTTTCAAAATGGAATGGGGGCAGGATTACAATTGATAGGATAGCATTTGTATGAGAACAACTGAATGGATACCATTTGTATAACTTACCTAATAAATCTTAGTTATTTTTTTTATTAATGAGCAATAAAAGATTCTCTTACCAGAAAATTATTGGCATTGCTCTATTTAAATTCACTCCCTGCGAGGCACGTCTGTTTGAGGCATTACCTGGCCCACCATTGTTTCCCAGCAGGGTCCCCGAGGTACATCAGCAGGGTGAACAAAAAAGGGGAGTCCAGTGCTGTTCCCAGAGAGAGACGCGTTGTAGGCCTTGATCATGTTGGCTTCCCACAGGGTGATATTGGCCTTTACCAGCTTCTCCTCCTCAATCTAGAAAGCAGCGAGGCACACACGGAAATTAAAACAAGAGCTACCCAAAGCATTCTGGGCAATCTTGAGACATGAAATTTGAAGACATGCTTATCACTAAGACAAACCACACATACATTTTACCTTGTTGTTAATCTCATCCATCAAGGCAAGAATAAATACATACAAGTTGCCTAAAAGAAGAGCAAAAATCCGTCCGAGTAGCCACTTGAGAGCAATGAGAGGGTGGTAGTCTTCCAGTTCAGCAAACAGGTCAAACAGCGTCGGGCAGAACATCCCCAGCAGGGACATCACCATGTTCATCTGCAGAGACACAAGCCATGAACCAGATGACTGGTGTTGACACTTGTCATCGTGTTACTCCAGAAGCTTGGAAGACTCGCGGCTACGTTCTTCTCATGTTTTAGAAGATGGAAGATTATTCCATACGTTCTTACAATTTTATCTCAGCAAAACAGCAGAGATAATATCAACTGTTGTTTTGAAGAAAATGCACACATGAGTTTGTATGAGTACCAGTGATAACTGTTTACTGCCACGGTGAGGGAGGAGGTTTACATCATTATACTGAGAGAACACATATTATCCTGCAGGGTAACCAATTCTGATCGGGTGATACACTTCACAGCAAGATCTCCAAAGGAAATGGAAAATGAACTGCATGAAGATGAGGTACAAATTTAAAAATGCTAATTTGACAGTCATCGGCATATGGAATAGTTTAATCAGTGTACAATGGACTAATTGCCTGGGGTGGGTCTAGGTCTAAATGTCGAAATATGGGAACTCTAGGGAATCTAAACTTTTAGTGGCAGAAACAAAAGGAATGAGTTTTATCCGAAGAAAACAGAAGATGTCATTGAAATAGATAAAGGACAAATAGCTTAATATTATGGAAGCCGAGAAGGTAAAGTTTCAAAAATGAAATATTGGTGCATCAGGACCAAGGCGAGAGAATGATGTGGGCGTGGAAGGTAGCCACATGATAATTAAGAAATGCGTCATCCTTAACTCGGAGCTCCATAACACCCATATGATTTTGTTACCAGGTTAAATTAATTCAAACAATTTAGAACATTTGCAACTTTTATAATGGCAAAAATTATGTGTTTTTTTTTTCCCTGATAACTGTCCCAAATGACTGGTACATACTGTCACCACAAAACACTCCCTGTTTTCCTTATGGATTTCACATTTTGAATGAAACATGGTTACATCTACCAGATTATAGCTAGGAAATAATTTCCAATATGTTCTGACTTTTTTTTTCATTCGTATTAAGAACACTATATGACTCACAGGAGCCAAAACTCAGCACGACAGAACATAAAATCAGCATGCTCTAATTCCAGACTAATGGCAGAACTTGTTAGCAATTTGGCAGAGCTTGTGTAACTTTACACAAGAAAAACATAAATTTGGTCTTGCTCTCATCACATCTGTAAAATTATTCATACATCCTCATTATTCTCTTCATTGGCTCCTTGGGACTCAGGGTTCCCTAATAATGAGTGTTAAACAAGTTCTCACAAAGAATGATTCTTTTGATGCTAACAGGAGAATTTTATTATGGTTAATTTATAAAAACACATGATCAATATAAACTCTAGATCCCAGCTGTATGACAATTTTGCCTGCCCATTACACTTGGACAGTTGATGTATATGAAATTCAATTACATAGAGAGGGAGAGGGAGAGACACAGAAAGATAACTTCTAACTCCTATGCACCGACCCGTTTCCCAGATGCCCATAACGCCACACGGATGCTTTAACGGGCCATCAGCAGGGAGCTGGATGAGAAACGCAGCAGCAGGGACATCAAAGTGCTCGTATGGGATGTCAACAACACAGGAAGAGGTTTTGCCTGATACGCTACAGCACCAGACCCTACCTCCTTTCTCTGACCTTCCAAACAGAGAAAAAACATCTAAAGACAAATCACAGGCTTAGTAATTCTCAGAAAAGAGCCAGCCTTCCTCATTCACACAGTAACTGCAGGGAGAGGATGCAATTCAAGGAGACAATGAAGGTAAGATAAGGATGGGTTTCTAGTAGACCCCGACCTAGACACAGAGGTGACGCCCTGGAGTGAAAAACTCGGCTCTGCCCACTGGGCTCTCCTGCTGATGAGCGTGGACTCAGATCCTGCTCACAGAGAAAATCACAGGATTACGGTCTGACCTTGCAGTGAATGTATCGGGGCTGGCCTTCTCAGCTGCTGATGTCTGCACAGTGGACAGCATGTCTAGATGCACACGGGGACATGAAACCCAGATGATCTAGGCCAGCAGGGGACATTGACTGCCTCGTCAGAGGAAGGAAAGCAGAACAGGTTGAACAGTTCTCTTGGTCAAGCTTTGCAGCTTGTTCCCTGCCCTGTGGATGCACTAAGGCGGACTTTGTCAACCAACAGATCTTGGAAAGATTTTCTCAACCCTGGAACAGTGAAGCCAACTTCTCAGAACCATCAAAACTACTCAAGTAGCATGCTTGGAACTCGCTTCCCCATATCAGGGTCTCTAAGGCATTATCAAAGGACATCCTCCCTCCCCAGGTGCTGATGTAGGTCGAAAGAAAGAAGCGGTCCCTTCCCCACTTCCCCTGTAGACACAAGAGAAAAAAAATCAAAACATTTGTCCCACCCACCTTCTTCCATGCCCGACCCTCCCACCCTAATCAGAGTCCTACATGGGCGTGCATCCCAGTCAACTATGTAAACAATATTAAAAAGAAAAATTACAAATTAAAAAAGGAAAAAAAACTAGAATGGAGAGGAAAATGTGTAGAGGGCTCACTAATTGAAAGGAGGAGATGAGGGGATAGGCAAAGAACGGCCTGTGGAACATTTCATCACGGAAGCACAACAGCCAAGGTCAGGTTCTAAGCGCATAAAAAGCACGCAGAGACGAACTTCATTTTTTTCCCACCACCCAAGGGTGTCAGGGTCCTGCTGCGCAAATTCCTGGGATCTCTTCACGGCCCAGAAGATGAGGTATCCACTTGCGCCCAGTGTCAGGAACACAAAGAAGTTAGCAAGAAACCTCAGGAATCTGACCAAGTGCACGTTTTCTTCTACTTGAGCAGCTCTTTCCTCTGTGATGGCTTCCTGCATCCAGGCAGACAAAAAACACAGTGACGACAGCTTAGCCACAGTAGGTGCCATGAGCTCAAGAACGTGACAAATAAAAAGGACACCAAGTTTGGGATTCCATAAACCAGATAAACACTGATAATTAAGGCACATCTTAAAATAAGAGAAAGAATTGTTGCCAACAAACTTTCTCTGCGATACCAGGCCAGTGTTCATTGCAAAGCATATTGTTTTCAAGCACAATGTTTTTTTGTTTTGTTTTGTTTTGTTTTTCCATGTGTTTGACTTCGTTTCATGACACAGTTTCATAGGCACTGGGATTCCCCCATCCCTTCCCCGTGCCCTCCCCCCATGATGGATTCCTCCACATTATTGCAGTTGTACATTTCAAATCCAGTCACGGTTCTTTCATTGCAAGCATGTACCCTGTACAGAGTCCAGCATCTTATTGTCCAAATAAACTCAAGTTTATTTAAACTCAAGTTTCCTTAGAGACCATCTCTGGTCTGAAAGTAGAGATGGCAGAATATCACCCCGTCCAATGAAAAGCCATAACATAACATCAACAACAGTTTACAACATTATGGAGTTAATTGGCATGGTATTGAGTGACTAATATGTTAGAAAATGGAAGTTCTTAACCACATCCTGTGACTATTTCATTGACATTTCAATTTTAGTTTATACACAACGAGCTGCTCTACGCCTTAAAATGGTTATAGGGTACTATTCAGCTGCCTCATGTCTATTTTCATTTTTATATTTAGCTGTTTATAGTATTGAAGCATAATTTTAACTGAACTTGGCAAATTTTAGGATAGTCCAATCCGGCTTGTAACTCTAACTAGGCATATGTTAACAATTGAGGTACAAAATGTTTTGGAAAGGTATTTCAAATATTGAGCCGATTTCCCTCAATCATCGGTGAACATTGTTCTATTGTTTAAAATATTTATTTCTGATTACTGATGGTCTCCTGTTACAAACAAGTAGCAGTATCTTATTACCAATTTTAAAGAAAATTCCTCAAGGCACAAAAATGCTGCCTTGGATCATCAGATATCTTCCAGTGTTAAACAGATCCGTGCCCAAATCCCAACAGGCAGAAACATTGAGATCATCTTTCCATATAAATAGTGAGCCCAATTGGAATGCCTAAACATTAACTCTTCAATAAAACCAATTTTGAAGTTTGTGTCTTTACCTTAAAGTTCATTGTGATTGAATTAAATTTGTTGTCTGCTGTTTCCGGATTGCCGATCAGGTAATCCCAGCTACAGAAAACCTTCCAGCTGAAGTTGAAGGTGTTGTCATCACCTCCTCCATCATCACCAATATTTTTGGTCATCCTATAAAGACAGGATGTTTAACCCAACAGCAAGAATACATAAAAAAGGAAGTGCAGAGAGAGGGACAAATAGCACAATTATAGATAAATTGGAGAAGGAATAATTGAAAGACATATATTTCCCCTCAAGTTTGTCCTAATATCCAAATAGGAGTTCCATTTTTAAATTTGATTTTTGTTTAATTTTTTAGATGGTCAATTCTCCAGCCCTTTCAGCTTAAAAAAAAAAATCAGTAAACAACAATGATTTTAACAGTTGAGCAGCTGTATAAAAATGTAAGGCTTCATTTGTTTATTTTAAAATGAGACAACGTTCTATAATAGACTCTTAATCTTTTGTAGATTAAGGAGGCCTTTAACAAGCTCATGAACACCCTTAATTCCATTCCTAAGAAAAAAAATACACAGAGACTTTAACACTGTCCCACACAACTTTTGCTGATTCCCTCACTCAGAAGCCTGAGGACAGACGAACCTGCCACACACATTCTACTTCCTTTTAGCATCTGCTCCCCGGAAGCAGCTAAACAAATGCATTCAATTTCAAAATTAAAATTTCTTAGGAAACACATAAACGCGTTCCCACTAGGTTATCGTGATGCTGTGAAACCAAGGGAGGAGGGACCATAAGCTGAGGTTGACACGATACATTGGCAGGCATCTTCAAGTTCATTTAAATTGTTCTACCTCTACCCCACTCCTTGTTGGGCTTATAAATCCTAGTGATTTATTTTCAAACACATCCACTTTAAAGTTTGTGCTGATTTACTTGAAGGCTGAAGAGACAGAGATATGCTGCCTAATGTTTCCCACCCCAAATGCCTGCAATGGCTGAGGTTGAACTGGGCGAAGCTAGGGGCCAAAGGCTCGATCCAGGGCTCTGACTTGAGTGGTAGGAGTCCAGCCAGCTAAGCCGTCAGCATCTGCCTCCCCCGTGCTCATTAGCCGGCAGCTGGGCTGCGTAGTGGGGCAGGGACTCACAGCTGGGCACTCCTCAAATGACCTCCACGCACATTGCAAGTACTGCTTTCACCGCTTTGCCATTTAAAATACAACAGTACAACAAAATACAACAATAATCATTGCTTTCTACCACTTCACCTTTTACAGATAAATCCTCTTAAAACTTTCAGCAAGAGGTGGGGGCTGTGGCCTTGGCATAGGAGATTAGGCTTCTGCCTACAGTGCCAGGATCTCACATCCCAGTTTGAATCCCAACTGCTCCGTTTCTGACCCAGCTTCCTGCCTGGAGTCTGACAAAGCAGCACCTCTACCCACGTGGCAGAAACAGAGCAGGCTCCTGGCTTCGAATGGACTCAGCTCTGGCCACTGCAGTCATTTGGAGGAATGAACCAGCAGATGGAAGGTCTGTCTGTGTCTTTGTGTCTTTTCTACTCTCCCTGTAACTCTGCCTTTCAGATAAAAACAAATAAGTCTTCTTAAAAATTAGCAAGAGGTCAAGGTAGTCATTTTTCTCTTTTTAATCGATGAGAAAGTTAAAGTGCAAAGACATGAAGTAACTTGCTGGAAACTATCCAGCCTTAAGCCACAGATCTCAACCGATCACTCAGGCTTTCTGATTTCGCTCCGATGCTCAAGCCAGGACATCCTGGTGTACATAGAACAATAGAAAACACTACTTCTGTTCAAAAAAGGTTAAAAATCAGATGTCCTTTAAGATCTAGAGACAAAATCACATTCTTGATGGATCGTTCACACCCTCTTTGAGTACTGGAACGGCAAAGCCTTGAGTAAAAACGGACATTTGACTTTTGAGCTTATTCCCTTATTTATATAGTTCTCTGCTTATCTACTTAAGAGGCAGACAGGTGCAGAAAGAAACAGAGGGAGAAAGAGCGCAGGCTCTCTGCTCATTCGTTCCCACCATGCGTGCATTATCCGCAGCACCCCAGGGGAGGGACAAGAAGCTAACCGGGCCTTCCATCACCACTTACACATTAGCAGGAAACTAGAGAGAGAAGCCAGAAGTGGCTCAAGTGCAGCCGTTCCAGCATGGCAGAGGGCCCCTCCCGACAGCCAGGTCAGTGGAGTTTCCTCACTGCTAACAGAGCTCTGCAAAGGGAGCCGAGCTGAAGCAGTGAATCATTGTTCTAAACACTAACAGGTGAGAGATACGTGCAGAGGAATGGGATGATGAAAGGAATAACGAACATCAAAGAAAAAATGCTCGTAACACATTCTATTGTGGTAGTGATATAACCCTGGTAATCTGTAAAATATTCTACATATGGTTCGCTCTCTCTGTGTATATATGTAAAATAATTATATATATATATTTCTCCTTTTCAGATAAACCGAGAGGAGAGACAGAGAGGAAGATTTTCCATCCATTAACTCACTCCCCAAGTGGCTGCAATGGCTGGAGCTGAGCCAATCCAAGCCAGGAGCCAGGAGCTTCTTCCAGGTCTCCCATACGGGTGCAAGGTCCCAAGGCTTTGGGCCGTCCTCGACTCCTTTCCCAGGTCACAAACAGGGAGCTGGATGGGAAGTGGGGCTGCCGGGACATAAACCAGCACCTATATGGGATCCCGGTGCATGCAAGGTGAGGATTTTAACTGCTAAGCTACTGGTTTTATATATATATATATATATATATATATATATATATATATACATAAAGCCTTGAGATATATATACATATATAGACGCATATATATATATATATATGTATATATATCAAGGGTAGCATTTATAATTTCCTAAGGTTTTTATATGGAATCTCTTGCCTTGGGCCACAGTTTTATCACTTCATTAGCAAAGTGGAATTATTTAGGCATTTGACAAATGCACATGGATATTTTTAATAATTCAATATCTCAAAAAAAATCTCAAATCAACAGGATCACTGTAAACTGGAAGGAAGAGGATTGAGAGGGAAGTGAAGAATAACTTTAGAAAAGCTCACAAGGCGAGTTGAGCACACAGCTAAGCAGAAGGGCAGCTGCGTGAATGCCAGAGAGTCGGGCTGAACAAAGAAGAAACTTCAGCAAATGTCTGCTACCGGTGAGAACAGAAGAACACAGATTCACAGTATATTGTCCACAACCTTTTGTCATTCATTTATTTAAATTCTGACCTTCCAACAGCAGCAAGAGCCTTATTCTGTTTCACCATTATAACCCAGGCACACTGCAGCCAGCATTGTGGAATAACGGCTTAGGCTGCCGTCTGCATGGCTGGCATCTCATCTGAATTCCAGTTCTAATCTAGCAACTTACTTATGTAGCTATGAAAGCAGCACAAAATACTGAAGTCCTTGGGCCTCTGCACCCACAGATGAAGCTCCTGGCTCCTGCCTCCTGCCTCCTGCCTCCTGCCTCCTGGCTTCAGCCTAGGCCCAGCCCCAGCTGTTTGGTCATATGGGGAGTGAATCAGCAGACGAAAAATCTCTCTCTTCTTATTTCTCTTTCTTTATCACTTAGCCTCGCAAAAAAATTATTTTAAAAAAAGGAATTATACATCTTTTTCAATTACCAATATTAAGTCAATATTAAGTGCTTCTTATGTACAAATGGCTACTAATGAACAAATACCTGAATATAAATTATGGACAATAATCTGAATATTATTTTATTAATTATGAAATTATTATGTATTAGTTTTGGAATTAAACTTCCCCCTGGGAGGAAACTCACCAAATGCATAGGAATAGCATGAGCTCACTCCTGCAAGGAATAATACATATCAACTATGCTTACTTCATTACTGTTTTCAGTTCTGTCCTTGTCTTTTGATATATTTCAATAACATCATCTGTAATTACTGCTATCCATCCTGAACCACAACAGTCTCTGGTCCATGATTCTGACGGGAACATTTTTCATGTTGCGCTCTTTAATCACAGATGGAGTCCGTGAAGCAATAATGTAGAGTGGGAATTTACAACTAGAAGTCTTCTATCTCTCATTGCCTTTCTGCTGCAAACATTTTCTAACACTTGAGGAAAACAAGACAAGCCCAAGCTTTGTAAGATTTTCCAACTGTTCAGGGTATGCCAACTGACCTGACCATTATTAGCCTACCATTGTATATAAAATCCATCATCGGAGATATTACATTCATCGCCAAAGAAACTGTCTCAGGAATAAAGGTTTAGGTTGCGGATTTACTATGAGTTTTGATTAATGTTCTCTGACAGGTTTTGTTCTTTGTAGCATTTTGATAGCAGGAGTTGAATCAATGCCATTGTAACTCCATTACTCAAGGGAAAAAATTTCAAACATTTACTTATTTTTATTGGAAATTCAGATAAACCAAGAGGAGAGACAGAGAGGAAAATCTTCCATCCACTGATTCACTCCCCAAATGACCACAACAGCTGGAGCAGCACTGATCCAAAACCAGGAGCCAGGAGCTTCTTTCAGGTCTCCCACACGGATGCAGGGTCCCAAGACTTTGGGCTGTCCTCAACTGCTTTCCCAGGCCACAAGCAGGGAGCTGGATGGGAAGCGGGGCTGCCGGGATTAGAACCGGTGCCCATATGGGATCCTGGCGAGTGCAAGGAAAGTACTTTAGCCACTAGGCTACCGTGCTAGGCCCCTATTTAATATATAATTAAATTTTTAAAAGGCTACCCCGAATGAACTAGAGACAGCTCCTTATAAGCACAGATGTGTCTTCATCAGAGATTAGGAAAAGTATGTTTTAGAATAAAAAGATGCTATAATCTCAGTTTGCCAATTTACTGGCTAGTTGAGCTTAGTCAACCCATCAGGCTCTGCAGAGCCTTGACTGTGCACCTATTCAAAAAGCATAATTAATTCCTACTAAATCCAGGATACACAATTGATGGCAGGAGTAAGCTGACCTATGTAAGGAAATGCATGACAGCAAGGGATGGCACATCATGATGGGTAAAAGACACCTTTCCAACTAGAAAAATCTAGGATCATATGGATTCTATTGTCAAGTGACATCGAGCATGGCGCACAGAATCTCTCAGTATTGTTCTTTTATGTGCTAAATAGTAAAACCAATACTTATTGTGTAACATTTATAAAGATAATATAATTTAAGTTGAAGCACTATAGATTTTCAGTGAATTCTAATTACTACCATTTTACATAAAATCAGGGCTACTCCAACAGATTTAGAAATATGAAGGAGTATCTTTGTTCCTTGCCATCTATAAAGATGTTTATATTCATGTGTTATAGCTTGCTTAAGGTATATGGTCTATTCAGGTTTATGATATATAAATGCATGCATGTATATGCACATATATATATGATATCCTATAGAGGAAAACATTTTTACATCAGTTGGCAGTTACATATAGCATGTGATTTATATGATGAAAAATATTAGATTATTACTGGTACAGGCTTGCTCATAAATAAAAAAAACGTAAATCTAATCTCAGTAAATCCTGCAAGAAAGAGAAGTCTTGGTAAAGCCTGTGAGATAAGATACACAGCAGAGTTTCTTATGAAGGCATGCATTCCCTGAATGATTGCTATTTCCAACAGTTTAGCTGTAACTCACATTAGTGAAACCCAGAATTTATAACCTAGAGAATTGTTGTTAATGAGAATCCTTGGGTGGTGAAATCAAAACATCAATTCTTTAGAACGTTGAAGTTTAAAAACTGATAGTGACAACATAGGAAGGAACATATGGTTTCCACGTCGTGCAATTTTCTTCTCCTTTTCTTTTTTTAGAATATTTATTTTTATTGGAAAGACAAATCAGATTTAGGGAGAGAGGGAGAGACAGAAAAATCTTCCATCTGCTGGGTCAGCCTCCAAAGAGTGGGACTCTACACCAGCATGGGAGACCCGGAAGAGGCTCCAGGCTCCTGTCTTTGAATCTGTGCAGCTCTGGTCATTGCAGTCCCTTGGGGAGTGAATCAGAGGATGGAGAATCTTTCTCTCTGTCTTCCCCGTCCCTCGCCCCACTATAAATCTGACTTTCCAATGAAAACAAATAAATGTGTAAAGGAAGCAAGGAAGGAAGGAAACAAGGAAGGAAGGAAGGAAAGAAAAAGACACACATGTCAGAGTCAAGAGTAACCCCAGGGCCCTGAGCCTTCACAGAGCCAGCTGTTCCTGACATCTAAGGAACTGGACAGGGACGACTCCCTCAGTGACCACAGAGACCATCCAGAGGTGTCATGGCAATAGCTCCTATGCGCAGGAAGCACAGCGATACGGCCAGATGACAAGAAGACGCCTCACATTCTGGGACGCATTAGCATTTTGTCAGGCAGCCAGACACTTCGATCTGAGGTCTCTCATTACATCTGCACCACCTGATTAGGGCTTTTAGCTAAGAGACCACTAACAAATCTTTTCACAAGTCCTGAAACAGCTTACATATTATCTCAAGAGGATCGGTAAGTGCAGCAGGGCTAAGACACAAAGTATGTCTCAGACTGCAAGCCCCGGCTTCCAGGGACTGCTTGCTTGACGCCACAGAGACCCCGAGACGGGCAGTCTTTCACAGTGAAGTGAGGGTCTCCCCTCCTGTGGTCCAGTCAATGATGGCGACATTTGAGATGTTCAACGTTTTCTAAGCTCGCTCAGAGAACTGGCTAGATGATTGATGGTTTTATATCTGCCTCAAATAACTATGCTAGATTTCTGCAGTATCTTTAAGTGAAGTATTATACATATATTTCAGGCAAGGAGGGGAAAATGAGATGTAGTTTTATCATTTTCCCAGTGAAAATGCTTCCCTGTGCTATAGTAAATCCATTCCCAAGAAATAAAGCATGATTATACAGTCCATCAAGACTGCCTTATTGCAGACCATTTGTTTTTGCTGTCTCACATAGCTAGCATTTTTTTTTTTGAAAGAGTGATGATTCTGGCTTTTCAAAAATGAAGAGAAAACAACATTCTTTCTATTGAGCTGATCCTGCAAGTTGCCAAGCTCTCTGTATGTAAAAGAGGGGTCAACAGCTGTGTTCCCATCATGTCAGATCCTTCGAGTCTCACCTTGAAGCACTAAACGAAATGTTTTAAGAATATACTTAGAGGCAGACACTTCTCCTAGCGGGTTAGCCTAGAGTGTTAGACTCTGGTTAACATGCCCGGAGTTACCAGTTTCGATTCCCAGCTCCAGTTCCTCACTTCTAACTTCCTAATAATGTAGATTCTGGAAGACAGTAGGTGATGGTTAAAGAAGCTGAGTTCTTGCTGTGCAGGTGGGAGACCTGGGTTGAGTTTCTAGCTCCTGGCTTTAGTCCAGCCCAGCCACTGTTTGCATTTAAATAGTGAACTAATCGATGGGAACTGTCTGACATAAGCCTCTCTCTCTTTCTCTCTCTTTTTCTCTCTCTGAAGTACTATTAATTTTATGTACATAAACCTGACAAAAGCCTGCAACCCTCAGTTTCCCCCTATAAAATAATCAAACACCTTAGGATCCATTCCTTCCGATTAAGGAAATCACAATCTAATATTAGTTTCAGCATTAAAATTATTGTTCGTCTCTGACTGACCACATCCTCTAGGTATGAGATAGCAACAACAGTACACCCGGTCCTCAAATCGATGCCCCCATTTGAGGCCAGAAATCGTTCATGCTTTTCCCAAAAGACAAATGAAACTCACGCTTTGAGGACAACCACAAAGCTGTAGCCAATGCACATAATCCCCACCAGAAAATAGGAGAGCGGCAACCTGAAGTTCAGCCATCCAATGGTTCTCTTATTGTCGTAGTAGCCGTAAAAGAGGACAGAATACTGTGCCAAGCCCTACAATGCAACCACAAAGCCAGTTAGCGCATGCTGTGAAGAGCAACTCAAAGGAAAAGATCGACTTGTAAGACAAATAGCCGCTCATGGGTCTCAAAGGAGCCCTGTTGTTTTGTACCATAGAATGAATTTTTCAGCTGTCACACCGATAGGCGGCGTTTTGGTTTAGTCAAAATTCAGCGACTACTAAAGACACAAAACTTTTAACCAAATACAGGCTTGCACAGTTGTGGAGCCATTAACATGAAATGCTTGTTGATTCAAACATCAAAACACACATCTTGATGTTGCTAGATTTGCAATTTTAAGAGCTTACTTTTCATGAGGGATATCTGAAAGGTGCTTGGTGCTGTGGCAGATTCCATTTCCAGTCACCTGAGCCATGATTAAATTGGTTTTCCATAAACCACAAAGGCTATGTCTCAGCTCCCATAAAGCAGAAATAAAGAGCAGGTGAAATGACGCTGAAAACAATCTACTAGAGAACTCTTCATAACAAGCATAGTTGCTGTTTCTCCCAGCGGACAGCAGACATCATTTTTTAAAATCTCAGTGCTTTTCATAGTTAGAGAAGTTACTTACACAATCCTGACATGTGATGATAATAGTTACAGTAATACCCATGACTAACACTTTCCAAGCACTTTACTCCATTTCACAGAATTATCACAAGAACCGTACAATGCTGTGAACCCAAAGGTCATCATTTCCCCCAACTTTTGATGTTTCCTTCCTTGTGAAAAAGACACATAAAAGTAACAAACTCCTTGCTTTTCTCTTCTGCCTCACTCCAGGCCCAGGGAGGAAAGCTAACTTGGCAGATGAGAAAGTGAAGGGCTCTCTTCCTTGCTCCCCTGTCCAGGAGCAGTGTGACTGTAATGCCCATGAAGAGGAGCTGCAGCATTCAATGTCCACTTTAACAATAATGGGGTATGTTAACCTCTACCTGTCTTCTTTTGTAAGCTTACAATGTGGTTGGACGAGAAGGTATTAATTTTTATTATATACATATATGTGACTTTATTTTTTCCTCTCAATTAAGATTTACATACACAGGAGATCACTTCACCCCTCTCTCTTCCCCCACTCTTTCCCTATATCCCTCTCATTATTTGTCTCCAAATTATTACAATGGCATCATCATTTCATCCTTCCATGCCTAAATTTCTGATATTTAAATGCATCATGACATGACAAAGAAAAAGGGAGAAGCTAAAGTAACATGATATAAAAGTACAATTAAAAACAATCATGGGAGTCCTGCTATTGTTCAGTGGTAAAGACACGTGCTGCACGCATCCGCTATCTGCCAGAATGCTGGTCTCCCTCGTGGAGTCTGTGGATCTGTGTGTGTGTGTGTTCTGCACAGCACTAGTTGCATACAGGAGAAGGAAGGTATTATTTATTGTGACTACTCCACCCCAATCAGCAACACACACACAATGATTTGATAGCTAAGAAACTGAGCCTTAGCATTGCTGAGTAACTTGCTCAGGGTCACACAGTTTGTACGTGCGAGTCTGAACTTGAACTGAGACTGTATCATTCAAGTCCCATTGACTTCAGCATTGTGCTGTATCGCTTCTCCTGTGCCGTCTTCACCTCCCAAGGTCTGCATCGTGCTAGGGACACACCTTCCAGGAAGAGAAACAGGAAAACGGCCAACTCAGTATGGACTTTGATCTCTCCCTGTAGGTTGCCCCTGGTGGGGCTAGGGTATCTTTGAAAGGGTCCTGGACCGACTTTGGAAAACATTTCATAGGCTCTCATTTACATATGCATAATTATTAAACATGCCTGCTTATAGCTTCTTCCCACAGCATGAGAAGAGCCACCCCAGAAAGAGCATGGGAGGAGAAAAGAGGCCCAGTGAACACCTGGCTTGCCTGCTAGGTTAGCTCAATAGCTGCTGGGGACAGCTAGCTCATCTGAGATCTGTACTGCTCACATATGTTCAGTGGCCGCTGCTTCATAAATATTAGATCACAACCAAAGAGGAGGAAGAGTTCTGGGATTTGGGGGGAGGGGAATTATGATAATTTCACAAAGGATTGCTCCATTTGCCTATTTGTTACTTATACAATTATGTAAATGAAAAAGAGGTATCATCAAAGAGTACAATTTTTAAAAGCTTTATCCACACCATCTTACCAGTATGTTGAAGGGGGCTTTACATACAAGCGGAAAGGTTTAGAGTGGGAACACGCCTCCCCTCTCCACCCAGTGGGCATACTACACTTCATGCATCTTTCCCTTTAAACTCCAGCAGCAGCCATCTGGACGTGACTAAAATAGCCATGACTCTAGGCTAGCTGAGGTTCTGTTCCATGCCCACACCAGTGCTCGCTGCACTCCCTGTGGGAGCACTCTCTTAAACCAGTCAGAGCCACGCTGCAAGCAAGCACAGAACATTCCTGTCCAGTCACAGGGTTCCATGGCTGCACGGTGTGCCTGACAACTCTAATTCCTGCTCAAACGCTGCAGCTGGGCTAGCCCATGAGAGAGACATACTCTCTTTCTAGAATCCTAGTATCAACCCGCATGTTCCTTTCTCTACCTAACACTTACTGAGAACTTAACTCTTTAATAATGTCATGCATTCATGCGATAAGAGACCAGATTATGGAGGACTTCAAGAGTTAAACATTCACTGCAAAAGAACTTCCTCCAGTATGTTATATTAGAGTCCCATCCGCTTGGAGCTTCTCAGGATTGTGAACAAATACCACGACGGTAACACAGATTATTTTTGAGATTCATCCAGTTTCTTAATAATGTGATTTTTTTCTTTTATGAATATCCCCTCATGGGTTTCAAGTGCTTTTCTGTAAAAATCAAATCTTTTAATTCAATTTTCCTACTTATACTTTCAATTTTCCTTATTTTTATATTTTTATCTGAGTTACTATCGGTCATGGATACCATGGTATAATTGAAGGTTTCAAGTTTTTATGTCTAGCAGATGGGGACACAGGACAGAAGCAAGTTCTGACAAAGTTAACAACACCCAAAACGATACCAGAACAGCAGTCAGCCAATGGGGCCCAGTGGATTTGTAACATTTGCTCATCTCTAAACTACCTTTCCCTTGCTACAACACAAATCCAGAGACACGATGCAGATGTTAGGTGGCTTTTAACAGATATGTGTTGGTTATGCATTGCAAGCTCAGCTGAAACTTAGCAGACCATCCAGTCCTCAGGAAAGAAAACAGTGTGGTATCCCAGGGTGCGGGGTGAACTCTGCCCTTCGGAAGGTAATTTCTTTTGATGCTCTGCCTCTGATCTCTGCCCAGATACAGGGCATTGTCACTGTCTGGTTTTTACTGCCTTGTGGGTGCAACATATTTCCATCAGGATTCTTTCTTCCTATTCTCTTGTTCCCTCAACAAACTGGATTCTTTTTTCTCAGCTAAGTATCCTAGGTAAATATTTAAAGCAAAAAACATTTGATAAAACACTTACCAAATACCACAGGTATGACTTACATACATAATATCACTTTAAAAATAAATACCCACCAGCCTCCTACGAAGGCGTTAAAATTACTATTACACACATGGCAACTGAAAAGTCCATGGCATTTGTTCTAATGTCTCGCAGGGTTTATGTGGCCAGATTCAAACCCAGATCTTCCTGAATCTGAGAAATGAGTTATTTTCATTATGCTAATGACATTTTTAGCTCCTCTGTATATAGTAGTTTTATCTTCCTTTGGTGCCATGACAGACAACTGAAAATAACGTTTGGCATTCAGAGCACTACGCCAGTGCCCATCACATGTCTTACTGCATTTGAATGTCCCATGAGAGGCAGGAATTCAGCACATTAAAATTTCTGCAAATGTACCATTTCTTCCTCCTATTCCAGAAAATGGTAAAATCAACCTACCCAACTCACCCTACCCAGAAATCAAGATATTTTCAGTCTTCAGTTATTATCAGTAGTCCACATCCACTTCTCGCGAAGCCCTGCAGCCTCCTCCAATCTCTTCTTTGTACTGCCACCCTTCAATAGCTCGTCTGCCTCGTCTTATCCAGCATCCCACCCAACTCATACCACATTCACAAAGCAGCTTACGAAAGCTTGCTCTGGTCATGTCTCCACAGTTTCAAAACCTGTGATGGTCTCTACTGCCTCTAGGTCAGACTCCAATTTCTCAGCATAATGTTGTTTAGTTCTTATATGATAAACTATCTTTTGCTAACTTTTTCTGATCAACTTTGTTGGATCACTCGTACGTGTTAATATAGGATCATCTCCTACTCCTGTATTTTTATGAATGCTACTGCCTGTGCTTGGAACACTGTTCCAACTGCCCTTCTCATCTCAGAGTCTTTCTTTGGAACTACTTTAAGGTGCAAGAATGTAAAATAAGGCCCAGCGTGATAGCCGAGTGGCGGAATCCTCATCTTTCATGTGCTGAGATCCCATATGGCCACCAGTTTATATCCCAGCTGCTCCATTTTCCATCCAGCTCCCTGCTTGTGGCCTTCTCTGCTTAGATCCAGCTTTTCGCCAGTGTGTTTAAGAAGGCAACATGTGATGACCTGAAATAGCTGGGACCTTAAAAACCTTTTAAAAGCCTAGGTTGCAGGTCATGGCTCCCTGCCTTTGATCTGTCCTAGCGCTGGCTGAATTGTGGTCAACTAAAGAGTAAATGAATAAGCAGAAGATCTCTCCCTTGTTTTCATTCTTGTTCTGCCTTTAAATTAAAATAATCTTTTAAAAAACAAAAAAAGATACAAGATGGGGCTAGCACTGTGGTTCAACAGGCTAATCCCCCACCAAGTGGGGCCAGCATTCCATATGGGCACCAGGGCATGGCTCCATTTCTGATCCAACTGTCTGCTTGTGGCCTAGGAAGGGGGTGAACCAGCAGATGGAAGAACTTCTATGTCTCTCCTTTTCTCTGTAAATCTGTCATCCAAATAAAGAAATAAATATACCTTTTTTTTTTTTTTTTTTTTTTTTTATTGTTGCTTACACTGTATTATGTAG